CCACTTATTTGTAATACAGGATTCAGCCCTAATGCCAAGCTCCTTTCCCTGCCACTGCTGAGATGTCAACTTTCTTCACTGTTTAAGAATTAAGGTGCCTCAAAACCAAGTGACATAGAATTAGTTAACCAGGCCATTTTAGGCAACCTTTCATACAAAAGGAAAACAAAATGCCAGAAACAGATTTCAGGCTGCTGCCAGAGGGGCTAAAGAGGTGTGTGAGAGACCACAAAACTCTGATGGCAATTGTGATGATGGGTACACTCAACATTCCCCGGGGTACCACTTCCCGGGCCATCAGCAAGGATGCTCTCCAGTACAGGGGGTGCCTGCATCATGTACCCGTCCTCAGTGGGACACACTTGCTCGCAGCAAAGGTGGGGAGGAATCTGCAAGGAAACTGGCCCCAAGCAGTAAAAGGCTGACAAGACAAACAAGTGCAAACCAACCAAGGTATTGCATGAAAAGTTCAGTAGCAAAACTCGTACCAAGAACTCAACATTAGAGAAAAAGGCTCAGTTGTCAGTACGTAGCAACAAGGCTCAGGGAAGAGAGAAAGAACAAGCTGTGCTAAAAGGCTTAAGCTATCTATAACTTAATGAGGGCCTGTGATTCACTTGGATACCTGAAACTGAAGCAGGGAATGCCTTCAACTAGGGAGAGTTCACAACAGGCCTCAATGGTTAAATTTTGCTTACTTTTTTTTTTTAAAACAGACTGTCTACATTATTGCTACTTGACACTACTCAAAAGGCACAGCATGCTGCAATTTAGGCTGCAGAGCAAGCAGAGAAACAGGCAATGCAGGCCAGAGAGAGAAAGTAAGGTTTAAAAACAAATTTAAAAAGAACTTTTTGAGAGGATTTTTTTTTTTGCCTTGGCCATGGCACACAAACAGTGGGATCTACATGACAGATTGGTTTTTCACTGCTGGCTGTCCCAACTCACCCTCTCCTGCACCAGCTCTGGTGTTTTTGTGACTCTGGGTTGAACTGCTTCTGTGTTAAGTCAGCAGAAAAGTAAGCCAACAAAAAGGGCAATAGGTTTCTGCCAGGATGTCATGCAAAAACAGTTGAGCAAAGGTTGAGAAAGGAGACAGATTTAACTGCTCTGGCAATGCAGGCTTAGTCTGACTAGCTAGTGCATCCACAGTAGCTTTACTGGCACTTCAGACCTCCAAATGAGACTATAATATTATAAATATTTATTTCAGCTAAAATACCATCTTATGTGACATTATCTCATCTTCCCCCATCACACAAAACTGTTTGCCCAAACACTGTCTTGCAAGGGGGAAGGAAAGAGATTTTTTTTTGTTGTAGTTGTTTTCAGTCAAGATGAACCCTCCAGTTCAGTTTATCACGTGGATAAGCTATGAACAGGTGTGCTGGTGAAAGAGAGGGGTTACACAGGACTGTAAACAAGCAGCAGGAGGAAGGAGGGTGCTTAAACCAGGACAGAAAATTTAAAAAGTCTATGTTTGTAAAACTGTGTTGCAAGTTCAAGCCACGCTATTCTCCTTAATAGTCTACAAACTTAGCAGGAGATTCTGCTCTAAAATAACTATGGTAAAAGTAAAAAATAAAAGAATAAATTAAAAATAGATATAAATACTAAATAAATAAACCAATAAATATAGAGATTATATATATGATTTATATATCATCATCCCATCTCATGGTGAAATAACACACATACATTAAGATATTTATTCTACTATACAAGAAATCAATTTAATTGCAGACTATGCAACTTACGTTCCTGCTTTGGATGCACTTGCATAAGGCTGAGAGCCAGTTTCTTAGCCTGTGCTCCCTAAAATGCCTCTCCCAGCCACACGGTTCTTCCAGCTACCCTATGCTATTTCTAGTGCCTCTTAGGTTCTTTTATGAGCTTGTGCAAGTAACCTACATGGCAGAATGTGAACTCTAATCGCTCATACAAGATTTAATGAGTGTCAGATCCAATGCATGAGAACAGTGACCAGGGAAATGTGGAACAGTGAAAATTTTTACTTTTAGGAAGAGTGAGTAACTAAACTTGTTCAGGTAGTTATCCAACTGCAGCATAGCTGGCCTGCACTCTGTCTGTCTGAATTAACTGCAGGATCAGCTTTCCCCATGCAGTTTCAATGGCTATAATGGGTTCAGGCAAACTCCACACTAAGCAGGAAAGCAGTGGAGTTTCTTGCTAACTGCTTTGCCGTGCAGAATTCACAAGGCACTGGGCTCCCTGTTTGTATGGATGGGACCTTCAATGTGGGACACTTCGTAGCTGTCATTTTAGACTCCAGTTTTGTAGGGTAGAATAGGACAGTATTTAATAAGCCAGTGAGTCCTACATGAGGTCTCTGCCCACATGCTCTGACTAGGTACCAGAATAAATGTATTTTTTGAAACCATAAAGCTTACAGTAATTACAACCATTAGAACAAACATTTACACTTGTGACTATCTGCAAAGTTTATTTAAGTAGGCCACTCTATGAACTATTGCTTTTAATAATCTAACAAGGATCTACAAATCATGTTGAAGTTCCTTCTTCCACAGAGCAAAGGCAGTCTTGTTCTGAAATCAGTTTCACAGGGATTTGTGTTCCGTAGAATAAAATCTGAACAAGAGCCTTTAGCTGGCAATGCACAAAGGTTTTACTCTATTGAAGCTACGCTGCTTTGTCTCCCGACAGAGAAACTCGGGCCAAAGACAAATAAAAGAGAAAAGAGTGTTAAAGACAAACAGGTGGGTAAGACCAAAAAAAAGCAAGAAATGCAAGGATACATTCTTAGTTCCTGAGGGACACGTTGAATGGAAGGGAATCCAAATCCGAGGTGATATTTCAGGCTCCAAAACCTGTATTAAGACTCAAGACTGTTGCCAACATACTTTCATTCAAGTGATACAAAACAGACTTCCCACTTGAAAAGATAGCTCACTGCAGAAACAAAGTCACTTCACCAGGCTTATGAAAAACATTAGTTACTCTAAATGCTTATAGGCCTCATTCCACAGAGCCATGGAACAACAAATATGGCTTAGTGAAATATCAATTTGATTACCATTAAATAAATGTATTCAGAATGTAAAATGTTCTTCTTTGAATGGATGTTTGATTATATTAGAGTGAAATAAACAGACCCCTTAGTTGTACAACAGTAACGCTGTAAAAAACAACCTTTTCCCTTGACATGATCACGCATTTAAAAAAGGAAATGCAAACACATAACATGTGCCCAGACTACCTTGAAAAGTTCATGTTTCATCACCTTAACAGTAATGATCTATTTTCTTACACAGGTCAGCATCTTCCTAGCTACTCCAACCTCAACAGAAGAAGTGAGAGCAGAATACTGAATCAAACTTTTCCCAAGAACACTCTTTGCTAAAAAAATATCACACGCAAACATGCAACAATCTTTGCAAATTATATTGAATCAGAAGGGCAGAGGTTAGCAAAAACTGACTCTAAGAACTAATTTTGTTAAAAATATCCTAACAAGGATCTAAAAATCATTGTGTGAACTTTGCTGCTCCATTTAAAAAAACCCAAGGATTTAAAAAAAATTCAAGGCACAGAATGCTTAGGGAGATCAGAAACTTACTTCTATAGAGATAAACAACTAAAATAGAAAATAGAAAATCAACAAGTACTGTTTAAAAAGAAGAAACCTTCAAGATAATTGAATAATAAAATTTCTACTTGTACACCCATTTTGTTGTTAGAGAATACCAAAGTGACATATTTCTTTGGGATTTTTTCAAAGTCAATATGATCTACTACAGGTTTCAATCCTTTATTTTTACTTTGTTTTATTTAAATTTTTGTTACTTTTTAAGATTTCCTTCTCTATTTTTGTTCAGTAATCAATAACTTCTTATAAGAAACCTTTCTATTCTCAATCTGTAAATATATAGGTTGATTTGTGTCATAACAAAAAGTATACACATTCTATAACAATGCAAACAACTCATCTTTTTTATGATTACCAATGAATTTAAATAGAACAGTTTTTTAAATAGTTTTTTTTCTATTTAAAAAACTTACTTTCAAGTTATTTGGTCCTCTTCATGTCATTTATAGCAATGCGAAGGTATGACATAAGCATATACATAAATGTTTCTCTACTAGTTTAAGCATGCTAGCATTAGAAACCTCATGTTTCACATTACTGCACCTCTTCAAGAGCACTGTTCACAGATACTTGAACTCCAGCTTTAGGACTAATGGAAGCCAATCTGGGTGTTCACGACACAGAAGAGAATGGCTGCAGCAGTGCAAAGTCATTACAACTGCAAAGCAGCAACACTCCTTTTATTTTATTAATTCTAAGGTTTAAACACACATGACAATTTTTAAAGCTAGTTCATTGTTCAGTCACAAGTTTTTTTTGCCTGCAACCGTAAGTTCTATATGTGTATTGCCGCTTGTCCAGGTTGAATTCCTAATATAAAAAGAATCCGCCCAGCCAAATGCTTTTATGGGAACTTAAGGGCCTCATGACAAGGTTTGACAATGCAGCTGGACCAACTTAATGGCTCACAGCCATCAAAATGAGGCAGTATTACTCTTTCTTCAACCACCTTGCCTCTGCTGTTCCTCTGCACTGGCTCATGGTCATCTGACTTCTTATTTGGCTGAGTCTGCTGAACTGGCAGAGAAATAATTCAGCAGGAAAAAAGAATGGTTTCTGTTGGCTATCAAGTGAGGTCAAATGGATACTAATACAATGAACAACAGGACAACTCTTTCAATACTATACAGTCATTTGACTGGTTCAGCCACCTTATAGAGTCTCGAACATAGTGATAGGATCACTTGAGACAAAGGGCAGGGTAAGAGAAGTGCTTTTGGCTTTTTGCACATTCATTTTAAGATTATTTTACGCTGATATTAATAATAAAGTAGAATTCTTACCTTTCATTGCTAATTTTTTCCATTCACTTACATCACTGTTTGCCACTTTACCAACAAATCATAACATAATAAACCAAATAATTACTTACCTACAAATCCTTTCTCTCCAACTAATTTAAGGGCAATTTTATCTGCCAAAACAGAGGAATTTCCATGTGCAATGTTAGCAAAAGGTCCAGCGTGAACGAATACTGGTGTTCCCTGAATAATAAAAAAATATATTCATTAATTCAGTGAATAGATGCCATGGTTTAATCTCAGCCAGCAACTAAGCCCCACATTACACATTACTCACTTCTCCAACACTGGGATGGGGGAGTGAATCGGAAGGACAAAAGCTGAGAAAACTCGTGGATTGAGATAAAAACAGTTTAATAGGTAAAGAAAAAGCTGCACAGACAAGCAAAGTAAACCAAGGAATTAATTCACTACTTCCCATGGGCAGGCAGGTCATCCCCAGGAAAGCAGGGCTCCATCACGTGTAACGGTTACTCGGGAAGACAAATGCCATCACTCTAAATGTCCCTCCCTTCCTCCTTCTTCCAACAGTTTTATATGCTGAGCATGATGCCATATAGCATGGGATATCCTTCCAGTCAGTTGGGGTCAGCTGTCCTGGCTGAGTCCCGTCCCAACATTTTGTGCACCCCCAGCCTCCTTGCTGGGGTGAGAGGCAGAAAAGGCCTTGAGTCTGTGTAAGCCCAGCTCAGCAGTAACAAAAACATCCCTGTGTTACCAACACTGTCTTCAGCAGAAATCCAGAACACAGCTTCATACTGGCTAATGTGAAGAAAATTAAACCTATCCCAGCCCAAACCAGCACATTAGGTAAAAACCTCAATACTTTTGCAGACTAATCAACATGATATCGAAATCAAAGCGCATACAGGACGGAAGCGCTGTTAGACAATTTAGGGGTTCTAGATACATCTCAGATGCTTCAGACCTCATTCACTAACAGGCCTAGACATCAGAACCTGCTTCATTCATAGAAAAGTAACAGACAGTAGCTCAACCCGTAGGTAACTTACACAACTTCTCCACTCAACCTTGTACTAAAACTTAAGTTTTACTTCTACTTTAATCCAGTATTTACGCTTCTGGCAATCAAATAAATAAGACTGCAGGTTTCAACTACTAGATTCAAATCCATAGGATTTATTCCAATTTATCTTTTATTAGTCACTAAATTTAATTTTAGTCTTCCAAGTCATAATTTCTTGTGGCATGCAATTACAGGGCTGGTCTTGCTAGAGCCTAGAACACACATGGGCATATGTGAAGCACGGAAGCACAACTACAGCCAGTGAGAGGGCAGCTGAGCCCATACTGTGGCAGCTGTGCAAAGAGAGGTGCCAGAAGAGTCTCCCACAACATTCCTTGTGTAATTGTGCTTCCAAGAGTTCATCCACACAACACAAATAGGGAGGAAATTTAGACAGTAGGATCCATTGGTAGTCAAGAGGCCTCCTGCCACTAACTTAAAATCCAAACACACTACTAAATCACTGGCATGGACAGATGCTCCCCTGGAGCTCTGAAATCCACCAGAAGAAAAGGAGGACCTCTTAGAATGGTTTTTTTACATAAGCAATCCTGGCAGAAAAGTAAAGTCTGGGTACCGAAGGGAGTGAACTCTAGCAGGATCTCAGGCACACCCTGGAACAGAGACAACAATGTCTTCTCAGGCCAGCTTTAGTGACTGTGTCAGTCCATCTGTCCTACTCTGTAGAGTGCCAGTTAGTTTTGCTACGCTCTTAATAAATTATATTGAGAAACAAATAGATGCATTCTGCTGACTGTTTTCAGTACAGAAAATTTTATTATCCAAGTTTCAGTAAAAGAAAATAAACCCAGAATGTCAATAAATATCTGAAGTTATGTGGTCATTAGAAGGATGTTTATAATACTTATTACCATCCTTCTCTCATCTTTACTGTGAGTGGCACTTCAAACGTAATACAACAAACCATCCCAAAGCAGCCAGCCTGCAACTACAAAGAGTTGCCCCATAGAGCAGCTGCTCTGTTACTCATGGTATAAATAAATGCTAAACATTAAGGGATCAGTTGATGAGAGAACAAATGTGTCATGAGAAACATGGATAAACACTATGAAATCATGATGTACATTCCAAACAGAGTAATTTTAATTCTACAGCACTGGATATAAGTTCTACTCAAGTCTGCAGTTATTGTAGGTGGAGTGTCTCACATCTCTCATTTTGATATTTCACTGTCATTCCTGCATATAAAACACTGTCAACCACTAATATTTTCAGGTGGTATTTCTGGTGACAGAGTAGCAGGGTTGTGATGGAAAGCAACCCACCAAGAAATCGCTTTAAAAACCAGCAAATTAAAATGCACAGACACAAGTTGCCAGTTCAGTCCCATGCAGGACTGGCATTTGGTATTTTTTGATTTAGGACCTTCTGAACCTCTTCTCCAGTGCATGCAGACATACATATAAAGCTGGTGCAAATCTACTGAGTTGTTCTTTTCTCCTTTCACAGGCCCTTAGAAGCAACTCCTCAGACTTCCACAGCTTAACACAATTCTCTTCTACAGGCTCATGGCCAGATCACAGAGGAGTGCAGCTGTCTCTGCAACGGCTACTTCCAGGCACTGCTACCCACAGACACTATGACTTACAAATTATGCTAAATCAAGTGTCAGTATCAGCTGGAAGTCACCCAGAAGATATCTCCTCTGGCAGTTTTTTTGCCATTCCCCAAAACCAAAGTGATCTGAAAGACCTGCTTTGGTGAACAGTTTCACCCTGCCAGCAGGACAGGTCCACAGCACATTCTGAGCTGCATTGGCGTTCTCTGTGTTGTCCTTACAGGGGACTTCAACTTGCCAGAAATCAACTGGGGGCATCACACAGCTGGTACAACCTGGGCCAGAAGATTCCTGAAAACCTAGATGATAACTTTACGGAACAGGTCCTAAGGGAGATGACTCAGAAAGATGCCCTCTTTGATCTGCTGTTTGTCAACAGAGTGGATCTCCTCAGTGAAGTGGAGACTGGTGGCTGTCTTGGCCACAGCGACCACAAAGTGATCGAGTTTAAAATTTCTGTTGACAGGAGGAAAAATACCAGCAAAACCTCAACTCTGGACATGAGGAGAGCAGATTTCAGGCTGCTCAGGGAATTAGTAAGGAAGGTCCCGTGGGAAAATGTTTTTGCAGGTGCTGGGGTCAATCACTGCTGGTCACTTTTCAAACATCACCTCCAATGGCAGGGAGGCCTCGCAGAAAGACCTTGACAAATTAGAGGGCTGGGCAATCACCACCATATGAAGCTCAACAAGGGAAAATGCTGGATTCTGCATGTGGGACAGGGCAACCCTGGATGTATGTACAGACTGGGGAATAAGATACTGGAAAGCAGTGCCACGGAAAGGGACCTGGGGGTCCTGGTCAACAGCAAGTTGAATGTGAGCCAGCAGTGCCCTGGCAGCCAGGAGGGCCAACCGTGTCCTGGGGGGCATCAGGCAAAGTATCGCCAGCTGGTCGAGGGAGGGGATTGTTCTGCTCTGCTCTGCACTGGTGTGGCCTCACCTGGAATACTGTGTGTGGGTTTGGGCACCACAGTATAAGAAAGATATTAAGCTATTAGAGTGTCTGAAAGAGGGCAACAAAGATGGTGAAGGGCCTTGAGGGGAAGCTGTATGAGGAGTGGTTGAGGTCACTTGGTCTGTTCAGCCTGGAGAAGAGGAGACTGAGGGAAGACCTCATTGCAGTCTGCAACTTCCTTGTGAGGGGAAGAGGAGGGATCGGCACTGATCTCTTTTCTGTGGTGGCCAGTGACAGGATCCGAGGGAATGGTCTGAAGCTGTGTCAGGGGAGGTTTAGGTTGGATATTAGGAAGGTACTTCACCCTTAGGCTCTAAACACACAAGCGGATCACTACAGAACATTCATATGTGCAGCTCACAGTATCCTCCTTATTCCCTTCTTTTTTTTTTTGTTTTAACTGAAGCAATTGAAATTAGCACCTCTCAAATCTATTCAGATAAATAATTAAAATAATAAAAGGTATTTAGTCACAAAATGGAACATGATACAAGCTTGAGGCTCAAGAGCAGCAGTAACAGCACAAGCAGTAACAGAGTAGGCCACTGCATCTCTACACAAGAGCAATGACACAGTCCAACAGGACATCAGCCAAAGCACAGCACCATCTTGGAAAATGTTTACGTAAGCTGAAGATCTCCATTCCTGGAGAGGTGACTCATATTAGCCTGAAAGCCAACAGGTATTCAAAAGGTAACAAAAAATCATCTTTAGGACTCAAATTGAAGGACTGGAGCATGAAGCAGTCTTCTGAGCTGCTTTAGTTTGCTGTTTTAAAAATAACTTTATGAGACAATTTTGGGGAAAAATATATCTTTGGGTACTGTGGTCAGGGTCCTGCTAACAAGCAATAGTGTTTGATGAAAGTTGGCAGATGTTTCAGCCATAGCATAGATTAGACTAGAAAAGAATACCACATAAAAGGCAGGAATTTTATTGCATAGAAATGTGAATATAAAGAAATGCAGTGAAAAAATAAATGTATGCAAGTCCCAGAACCAAATGCCTATCAATCAAAAGAAACCCTTCTGACATTTATAATTGTCCTTTAGAACACTGCAACAAAACCACATTATTTTCTAACAGATATGCAAAGTGCAAATAGAGTGACACAGACTAAACAGTCAGAATCAAAGCTACATTGTCAGTGACGCTTATCACACACAGGGTTATCCAAGTGGTGATTTAATACACAGTTCTGGCCATGACATTCTTGATCCTACGTGACCTCCAGTTTCTGCTATTGGATGTTATATTGAATTCTGACACACACATACATTCTTCATACAGCCACATGAAAGAACAGATCTTCTTTGCAGGAGAAAATAATTAGATGCTTATAATAAAATAACATAGACTTAAATTCTACTTTTCTAAATCTTCCCCAAGAGTAGGAATTTGACCCCATCTAAACACAAAAGCAAAAAGGTAGCTATCACTTTGTCATGTTTTAGAAAACGAGACATTTTTGCTAACCACCAATTGAACTCATGTATTTCTACATTCTTTAACTTTTCACCATACCAGGAATGTTCCAGCTATGTAATTTTGATGGTCAAACTTTCAAAAATACAAACTAATTTTTCTCCAAATCTGCTTTATTATTTCCTCTTTTTTTTTCTCCCTCTAAACTTGAATGTTGCTCATCATTCAGTTTCCCATGGAAAAGGCAATACTAGACTGCCCAGACACAAAGTTAGGTTGTACTAATTCTGCATTCTTTAAGCTGTTGGAAGACAGCTCACTAGGGTAAGTGTAAACCATTCCTGTCATAGCCCAGTAAAGCTTCATTTAGTTCCTGAAGGCACTATGGCAATATTAGGTGGCTGGGAGCCATCTTTTGAAAAAACATAAACAGGTAAAAGTACTCTCCTCTGGTTATGAATGGTACAAACTGTGATACAGACTAGAATGGCTGCAGCAAAGCATCTACTTCCCACACAAAATGCTGGACTGTGGGAATCATCATGGGAACAATCATACAAAAGAAATAAATAAGAATTAAACTTCCCCAGAAGAGCAAGGTGGGAAACAGTAGTAAGTCTATGACTCAGAAGACCAACTTGCCTTCCAGTGGGCTCAGAAGCAGTTCAACAGTGCACTGCAGCTTGCTTGCAACACTAGGTGAAATTATGATTATAGTCAGAGTCTCAAAGAAAGGAAGACAACCACCACAAAGGTATAAATGCAGATAGAGTTGACTAGTTAACATAAACAAATGAACATTTGCTAGAATGCCTTTATGGATCTGACCTGGGCTTGAACCTTGAAAGTTAAGCACAGTTGCTGAAGAGAAGCATGATCAGCACAATATGGAACTTGAAAGTCGGAGCAGGGCAGGCATCATAAGCCACTCACCTCTAATGTCTGCATTAGCGTGGGCTTAATTGCATCTTTCATCAAAACTGCCAAAGCACCTGTTACTCCCTAAAAAACAAAAGAGTGAACATTTTAGGGAAGTCAGTTCTAAGGTGCAACATTTTCAAGTTACACTTAAGCTTACAGTCGAAGTTCAAGACAAAAAGAAAAGTGTGCTCATAAACTATAAAGGATAAGCAGTGTTACAGTGCTGCATAAAGAATTTATTTAGATATTACCTTAAGACTTCTAAGATATGGCATTTACAGAATGTGTCAGAAACAATAATGATTTTGTTCTGAATACACTTAAAAGGTAGCAGGTAATTATTTGTCCTATTTCATGGAGAGACCAGAAACAGTTATTAAGCGACCAGTAGGAGGACGCTCAAGGTAACAAAAGATGAAGTGGAAGTAAAAGCCACTGAGAGATGAGAAAGTAAGAAGGCAATAACTTGCTAAAACTGCCTAAAGAAATGACATATGTATGTCTTCCATGACAGAATCAATAGCATGAATCAATAGCTACCAACAACCAGAAAGGATATTTTCCAAGACTTGTACAAATATACACATAACAGACACAGGATGAAAGCAGAGTTTACTAGGGGTAGATAATGAATATATCATAAGATTAAAAGTTAGAGATGCCTGACTGTCATAATAAGAGCACAAAAGGAGCTGAGTAAATTGCTGCATTTTGGTTGCAAGAAATCTTACTCCTCCCTAAAAATTTTGTTGGAAGTATAAATTTCACACTGACTGACTTTAAAATCAATAAAAGTCATGACATCCCTCTGTACTAAAACTCAATGCCCATTTTAGAAAAAAAAAAAAAGAAAAAAAAGGGCCACAGGGTGCGCACATCACTATCAGACTATATGTGGAGTGCTGTCTATAAACCACCAGCATATGTTCAAATTTCTTCCTAAATTACTTTGATTTTGAGATGATGTGTTTTGTTTGGAAAGAACTAGATCATGGTTCAAAGAAACCACAGTAATGTTATAAAGAGTGGTTCATAGACTTGCCAGAGAACACAAAAAATGAATTTAATATTTTTTTGTATTGAAAAGAAACATTAAAACCAAGCAAAACTCCGAGCTGCTGTAAATTGTTTAAAATGAAGGTTGAAAAACATGGGTACTTTATCTGAGTAGCCTATTAAGGCATGAACAAAAATATTCAAATAAAGAAGAGCAATAAAAATAGTTCCTATATAATTCTCAACACAGCTTTTATCAGCTAATCCAAAATTTGAACAATCAAAGTCTGTGTGAAAATTTTGATGTCAAACAGATAAGAGACATAAAAGTATGTGGTGATTATATAAGTAAAGTACTGTATAAAATTAAATTTTCCCCTCTTTGAGCATCACATCTGAGCATGGACTTCAGAGGAAAATGAAGCAGAATATTTGGCCTTGGATATAACTGAATTGAAACCTAAATAGTAGAACTGGTTTCTACTAAAGCATAGCAAGTGTTTCCTTGGAGGACTATAAAGGAGAGAGAAAAGGGGAAGATTTTTCTTCTCTCTCTGCATCTCCCACTGTCTACAAAACCCAACAGATCCACAGAGACATAATATGAGAAATTGGTAGCAAAACAATATAGTTTTTCATCTTTCGAATTAGCAAAAAACTAGATTGCTGTTTCTTAATAAGTTAATTTTAGAAGCTAGGATTGAAACATAAGCATGCCCGCTCTGTCAGAATGTGTGAGGCTTCATCACTTCTATAGAAGCAGCCTGGTTCTATGCTGCTTATATACCCAAATACTCTTATTTCTGAAAAACAAAAGTCAAATGGAAAACTTTACATCAGATTTTCCGACTGGTTGACAGCAAGGATAACTACCTGAGCAGCCAAAGATCACCCCAAATGACAAATGTTAATTCATGCCAACTGTAGCCACCAGACCACTCAAAGTAAGCATGCAAACATCTATCTGCTGACCCGAGACACAGTGACTGGAAAGAAGACTTAAGGGATGGGGAAGTAAAAAATAAAATCAGGACACTTCTTCCCCAACCTCCTCTCCTGCCCCTTCTAGATAATAAAGGGTCAAATCCTGTCTCCTTTGTTTTCTGATAGTTCTTCACCAATCTGACAAAAATAATGAAGTAATCCTCTGCATTTTAACTTTTTGGGAGATATTAGCTATGCATTATTTGGGAAATATTAGATATGCATTCTGGACACAACAACTTATTCTATCTGAAGCTGAAAGAAAAGAAAAAAAAGATGCAAATACTCCAGTTGGCACACCTCATGTCTATCTGCCATCCGTGGTTCTTAAACAGGCTTGGTGTCAACAGCAGTCCTTAAAAGCTAAACAAAGTTTTCCTACCTATCTGACATGACTCTGTGAGAATAAAGTTTTCATTTCTTCATATCCTCAATCCTCCAACTATCTAGTAACAATTCCTCCAGCTCACTCCAAGTCCTGGATGTGATTCTCAAAGATATTTAGGGAATCAGGTTCCCATTTCCAATTCAGAAAAGGAATTTTTTATAAAAGAATTTTATAAAAGAATTAGAGGTTTAGAGACTTACACACCAATTAAGCATGTGACAGCCCAAGGATCACTATCTTTCCACTAACTCACTGTCAGAATCAAATGTATACAGACATCCAACTCTTCTGGGTTTCCTCCTGGAAATGATCCCAAGTACTTCTGAAAATAATACTCCTTCCATCTATCCACCAGCCATTGGGGTAGGTATGCTCCACAGGACAGCAAAGATCATAGAGCACAAAAAAAATTATACACATGACACAGGAAAGGCAAACTTAGATGAAAAACTGAAATACTTCTAAAGAAACTTCCAGTAGGGCAGTCTCTGAAGTCTGTCAAGAGTGGAAATGAAAGCCAGTAGTAGATGACAAGGAAGGTGATTGAAAGCAACTACTGTGACTGAAGTTACACAGACTGAAGGGTAGAGAAAAACCCTTTTCTTTATAAGAAAAATAATGAAGTACCTGTAACTTACCTCCATTTGAAACTATACTGTCTAACAAAATAATAATATTTTCTGCAATTTCAGTTCTGTAAAGAACTGAACATAAAACCATAATCTGAGAAGAACTGCAACGCCTTTTATTTGCAATGAACTATGTACACAATGTTTCTGATGAACCAGGGAATAAAATCTCTCCAGCTGACAGTTCATTTATAAAAGTAAATACGGAGCTGGGTTTTTTTGGTCCTGTAATTACTGAAATCTAATGGTATGGCATGGAAAGTAAGCTAAGAAGTCTTATTTAAAAAAATAGTGATATATTTATTTAATATTTTTCATAGCTGCTGAAATACTGATCTAGGGTACATATACCCATTTAGTGTCACATAAAAATATGGCATGTGTCCATCAGAATTCTACCTCACTGTAAAAGCCAAAAAGCAATTAAGTCTTCAAAATACTGTACAATGAGCACCACATTTTGGCAAAGACTTCTGCATATTCCATTACAGAGGACAGACATTTAATCCATTACTCTTGTGGAAGGACTCTTCTCAAATCATGAAATATTCAATTTATCTTTTTTTCTATTACTCCTAGCCCATCTCTGCATATGGTTTATATCTGCCAATGTGTATTTTAGGTTTTACTATTGTATTATTATAAATATATTGCATATAAAGTCAAAATTTAGAGAAATTGTGTTTTTGTGAAATACTTTGTGTGTATATCTGGAAACAAACCATGGAGAAGGGTCTAGTGGTTTTGCTCCACATAGATTCCAAAGAACTAAAGACTACTGTCAAACATTTAAACTTGCATAAATTCAATCTGTATAGGATATATAAAACATGAACCCCAGAATTTTTTTCAGTAACATGTAGGATTGACCCTTTATTCAGGTTGTGTGGTACTTCCCATGACAAAGCTGCCTTTAAAATTTCTTAAAACTATCTGCAATTGCAGTTCTTTGGGCTACAATGTTCCATGTCAAGGGACTATAACAGATTCAAGCTTTTAAACTCGATTTTGTTTTACAAAAATTTAAGTCAAAATTACTGAACTTGCATTGAGAGCATTCTAAAACCTTTTATATTGATTTTCCAATGTTCGGTTGTCTTGAGATCTTTCCTTTCTGAGCTATAAAGCTTTACCTCCTCTCTGACCCTGACTTGAAAGGAGGGCAAAAATTCAGGGGGAGAATGGCTTCACATCAAACCTCTTGACACATACGAAAATCTGCTCAAGATATAATCCTTGGATTCTACCAACACAGGCAGGGGAACAGTAGACACTGAGCTAAAAGTCTAGAAACAGTAGGTTTAGTTGCAAGCTGTTTCAACAGACTGACCACCTGTGGGAACAAATCAGCAACAGAGATGAAATGTTACACAACAGAATAGAAGTTTATCTTCCTCGTAAATATGAATTATGGCACAGTATAGTCTTTGATTATATTTCTGCTGTTGTTTCCAAATGATTCGACTTGATACAGTACAGTTTCACAGTGCAATACAGTTAGTAACTGCAGTACAGTTACTCATAAGCTCTTCCCCATTGTACAAAGTAAGCAGTATTTAATTTGATAAAGAAATTTTAGAAAACCTGCTATTAATTTCCTATTTTGACATTTTTTAAATGTCAACACCAGAGCATCTGACTTCTTCACCAATATTAATAAGTCTGCAGAAATCAACAATCTTTTCTGTTTTCAGAAGAGAAACCTGCACACACAAGAATAAAACTCAAAAGTATTCACTCATTTTGGATGCTTGACCTGAAACAGCATGAAATAATTTCTCCTGGTTCAAAGTTCTTGATGAAGTTTCACTCTTTCCACAATTTTCTGCTGTTTAGGTCCCTAGTATTAAACCAGACTGAGGAATGTGTAACTCCTTACGTACTGTAAGAATCAGTTAGTATGGACACAGCATCACACAAGTTCTGCAAAAAATCACAGGAATAGAATTCAGTTCTCCAAAGGGCCTTAATCATTATATCACGTTCCTATTATTCCCATAGTTCTCATACTCATTTGTAACACACTGCAGAACAAAGGAGTTGGAGTTTCTGCACTGCACAATCATGACATGCACACAAGTCCTCCCAGTGCATGGTATTGGAGACCCTTCAGAAGAATTAGAAAGCAGCAGCATAGTGCAGATGCTCATAACACATATCCTTCAGATTGTGATGATTTTTTTTTTCCTGTGTAGTTCTTCTGTTGTATAATACAGAACACTGCTTTAAAGAACAACTAGAAACACATGTTCAGCACAAGTAACACTATCAAATTATTGAGATGCTAAGCATAGGAAGTTTGTTTTAAAAAAGGCCAAAGAAAACCAAATTAGTAGCAGACATTTTGCTGAGCCCTACTTTCATTTTAGGGGCACTGTGGAAAATTTTTTAAGTTCTTTTCCCTCTATAGAAAAGCAACTGCTTTCATTCATCAAGCTGATTAGCATTAAGTGGTTTAAGGCACGTTAAATATTTTGCAGTATTAATATATTAAACATATATACCTTAAATACTTCTGTATACAAAAGCAGTGTCAAGATAAAGGACATGCATTTCAAATGCAGTTTTAATTCTAACACTGAATTATGCATATGCCTTATAACGTAACTGATTCCCTACTCCCCTCAATTTGGCCAAGACAAAGTAATATAAATAAAAAGGAAAAGCAAAACTTCAACAGCTGGAATGTTATATGTAGTTCTTCACATCTCCTGCATAACTGAGAATAGTTGATTTGCTTTGAATTTTAATGATGATTTTACTCAGAAATTTTTAACCTTATTTTTAATCCAGGCAAGCTAAATACTACTTTTTCATTTCCTTATTAAAATGGAATCCATTAAGGCTGTGAAGGTGTTCCTGAGTTGTGGATTTGCTATCTTTGCTGACAAGGCAAGATACTCATTGCTTTACTCATTCTAAAAACACAGTGAGCTTTGTGCAGATGTTCACAAAAAAGGTAAAAACAGGAAAAAATACACATTGTCTGTGCAATACAGGTAGCCATCACCAATGGGCTGGCATAAGACTACTCCTGGCATACAGCTGATTGCAAATGTTAACTGGTAGCTTCTGGTTGCACCAGAACCTGCCATACACAACCACATGTGAGCTTCCAGCCACTGTTCAATGACTCACAGCCTGGCTACTAGGGCTAGAATGTGATTTAAAGAAAAAACATACTGACTTCTTTCAGAAACTGAAGTAGGAAATGAGGAAACAGCAACTAATGAAGGTAAGGAAGAAAAAAACCAAAAATTTATTGATCTAAAGAGTTAACCTAAGCAATATCAGCAGCCTCTGAATTAAGAACAGCTTGTTTCCATTCTGATTTAGTGGTATAGGCATTCAATGTGGTAACTATCATTGCAACATCTGAGCAGACTTTGCAAGTACAGTAGCAAACATTATCAGCTCTCTCAAATAAGAGTCTGCACTTTGACTTCCTCCAGCACCAAAGTTGTTTGCCTTAGGAATTGCAGAAAACGATCCAAGTAGGTTATGGAGACCAGAGACTTCCTGAATCAGATGTTACCAGAGTTGCAGAAATGAGTTCTACATCTTGTTCTCATTGCAAGCAGGTTTTGGCCCAGAAGATGATCTTTCTTTGATATCTGACTGTGCTGTTCAAAGCAAAATCCTTGGCATGCACCTGCCTTTTTAATGATTCAAGAGGCAAAACAAACACATCTGAGGTTATTCACAGGTCTCTACAGCACTGAACATACCAAATCCTCCACTGTAACTGGTTCTCCTTTCTTGCCATTAGCCACCACCATTTTCCCCAGTCTCTCTCTCATATCTTGAAGGCTGGTGGTAAGTGCCAGGATGGCCATAATTTCACTTGCAACAGCAATATCAAACTGAGCCTGTAAAGTAGAAATGAGAATCAAGAATCAAATCACAATCAGCTCAAATACTCACAGGGGGTCATCAGGAATAAATTCAGGAAAGATAAATTTCACACTGGAATTCAGACAAGTTCTAAATGGTAACCTACAGCTTTTGAGATTACTCAGACTAGAGTAACTTGTACATACAGACTGGGGAATAAGATGCTGGAAAGCAGCGCCACTGAAAGGGATCTGGGAGTCCTGATCAACGGCAAGTTGAATGTGAGCCAGCAGTGTCCTGGCAGCCAGGAGGGCCAACCGTGTCCTGGGGGGCATCAGGCAAAGTATCGCCAGCTGGTCGAGGGAGGGGATTGTCCCGCTCTGCTCTGCACTGGTGTGGCCTCACCTGGAATACTGTGTGCAGGTTTGGGCACCACAGTATAAGAAAGATATTATAGAAAGATATTAAGAAAGATATTAAGCTACTAGAAAGATATTTAGCTACTAGAGGGCAACAAAGATGGTGAAGGACCTTGAGGGGAAGCGGTATGAGGAGCGGCTGAGGTCACTTGGTCTGTTCAGCCTGGAGAAGGGGAGACTTCATTGCAGTCTGCAACTTCCTTGTGAGGGGAAGAGGAGGGACCGGCACTGATCTCTTTTCTGTGGTGGCCAGTGACAGGATCCAAGGGAATGGCCTGAAACTGTGTCAGGGGAGGTTTAGGTTTGATAGTAGGAAGGTATTTCACCCAGAGGGTGGTTGGGCACTGGAACAGGGTCCCCAGGGAAGTGGTCACAGCATCTAGCCTTCCAGAAATCAAGAAGCATTTGGATGATCCTTTCAGGGACATGGTGTGACTCTTGGGACTGTCCTGTGCAGGGCCAAGAGCTGGACTTTAATGGGTCCCTTTCAGCTCAGGATATTGTATGACTCTGTGAACTTCAAACATCTTATATTCCCTCATTAATGTTCTCCATTACACTCCATTTACTTGAGGAGCAGTCTATCAGACTGCTTAGCCCCTTGCCTCACATTATCCTTAGAGAAGCTCCCTGAAGGACCAAGATTTTTTTCGTGTGGCAAAAAAAAGAAAATCACCAGATGTGTTTTGAGCTTTACAGGCATGAACAAAGCATTTTAGAGGTTTTTTTGTTTTGTTTTAATTATTTTTTCCCCTGTAATGATCTCCAAATCTTTTTACTCTGGTTTCAAAAACATTCTTGTTACATTTGATCATTTTTTTCCTACATAGACTCAAAATATAGAGTCTACGCTTCTAGGTCTTGTGCTTTACCTATGAAAATGTTAGATATAACTCTGCCCCATTTTTTTTTCTCTCAGTGAACAAATACAGAAGTTAAAAAATGCCAAGAACTATATGTGGCATCAGTTCTATTGCTCTTGTAGATATATATTCATCCTGTGCAGCATTTCAGTACTTATATGATAAGCAATAGTATTTATTTTTCTTTAAGAACTTACAGTATACATTAGTAGTATTTGTACTAATTTACTAGTCAAGCTCAGGTCACATGCTGTCAGAATATAAACAGAGAAGAAAGGAAAAGTCACTAATGTATTGCATGACAGGAAAGCAATGTTGGCACGGATCAAGAACTGCAATTTCTTTAGCAATCTTTCAATCTCTAACAATTAAAGTCTACACAAAAATTTAGTCGCTGACATCCTACTGCTATCTATGTAAGAAAAAAGCCCCAGGACTGTTTCTGTCAGACCTCTACCAGATGCATCCTATACATGTGTCTGACTATTACCAGAGGAATCTGTTTAAATCGAGGGCTTTGCCTGTTTCTAAGAACCACCTTCATACAGAATTGTTCAACATATACCCACCACTCCTATCCATCTGCTTTAAGAGTTTCTGCCCTTTTTTAACCTATGTTCCCACTTTTAGATTTTGTCTTGACAGCCCAGAGCATCCCTATTCAGGCTGACCTATATGTACCTGCATGTTTAGTCAAAACTTCTGAAGATACGTGATCACTTTTCTGTATTGGGCACAAGCAGGGAGACATACATACCACAGAAAAGAAAAGTAATTTTCAGTTTGGGATTCAAATGAAATGCTGAAGTTACAAAGCAGATTTTCTGTATTCTCTGGAAGCAGTTCTATATGCAACGAACATTGTTAGCATTGTGATGACATGGATACTACTATCTTTTCTGAAGTAGAGAATGTCCTTAGTAAGTTATTGCAGCATATATAAGACAAGAAATAAGCCTGAGAAATCTATGCCCAATCTGTATGAACATAGTCTATCTTTATCAGAATGTTTATCAGAGGACCCCCCCTAAAAGTTTTTATAATCATTGTTTCTACATAATCCCAAAAGGATGGGAAAAACAATCTCAGGTAGATGCTCAAAGAGTGACATAAAATTTAATGGAAAAAACAGGCACAAAACCCAGTGGTAGCAGGTGCTATTTTAACTCTAATAACCTTTATACACCTATGAAGTGCTGACAGAAGCCTTAGCTGTAAAGTCAGTTTTCTATTGATGAAAGGATCCACCCACATGGATTCAATTGCAGGATCAAGGGTATCAGTCATGTAATACTCTTTAGAAACCACAGCATCCCTGTTCATTAAAATTCAGACTTTTGTGCCTGCTGTGCGCTGCCATTTTACACAGGTGTAATTGATTTTAGGAGTGCTAGAACATCACCCCAAATATTTATAAAATGCATCTGTTAACTATGAAGTCCTGTTTTCTCTGGATCTCCGGCTAGGCTCTGAAATGAGTTTTCCTAACTGTTAACTATTTCTTGAGTCACTAAGTCCATGTTAAAATGTGAATGGATATGCATTAGTCCAACAGATCAATATTGAAAGCATTAATTTTAGCCCAAACAGTACAGAAGCAACATTTGACAGCCATATGTCAACTAGAACTCATTAATAAAATAGCCCATGTTTAACTCAGTAGTACAATTATGGTGGTAAAACGCTGCACAATAAGGCTGGCAAAACCTGGCTTAAAGCTAATAATCACATTGAGTCACTGAAACAAATCTAAACATATGAAAAGGCCTCAGGTGTTGAAGGAACTCATACCAAGTATAATATTTTGTAGTCCCAGCCATTATCAGAGAAGAGTATTAGCTAATACTGAGTTTCCTGTAAGCTATAGACAGAAAAATTTCTATTCTATGTGTTCAAAACCAAAACAAGCAGGCATTTCTAGTGGAAGTTGTCCCTGCTTATGGCAGAGGGGTTGGAACTAGATGATCTTTAAGGTCCATTCCAAACCCAACCACTCTAGGATTTTACGATTCCTCTTTGAAGTTGTTCTCTCCAATTTGACTGCTTTACCTGCTGAGTTGAGGAAAAAAAATAGCACTATGTTTTGGTCTCTATTTAGGCACAAGGCTTAGAAGAGGACTGAAATGATAAAGAAAAATTAAAGCTAGGATTTCCAAAATGCGTGAAAGCCTTATCTCTGCCACAAGAGCTATTCACATCAAAACAGTCAAACCCTCATGAGTTTCATGATCCAGAATATTAGATTACAAGATCTTCATCGAATTAGGAGCAACTCCATATCGTCACAATGAGTTTGTTCCACCTGACACTGCTATCCCATAACTTTACTGTTTCAGAAAAGGATTTATCTACATGACACCAGAATACTTCTTCAGATGGTGTTAGAAAAACCTGGTTTTCAATTTATCAGTAAGTTCTTCAATAAATTTCCAGAAGTTTTTAGACAGTAACATAGGTTACCTTTTTACACCAATGAAAAGTATGCACATACTCTTTTGCTGAACTATCCCTTAAAGCCCACATAGTAAAAGCAAGCACATGCTCAAGGTTCTTACAGTTTAGATTCTAAAGCTGAGATGCATGAGAGGGAAATGAAAACTCTGAATAAAAAGCTTATTTTAAAACTATTTTTAACATTAAATTTAAATGTAATTTAAATTACAAGTATCCTACATATATTCTTAGAGAGACTTAAAAAAAGTAAGAAAAATCAATCAAATCAACCTTATGAGGACATAAAGGCACCTCTTATAGTCATAGGACAATGTTAAGCCCCTAACATACGCAATTTTTTCAAGTGCTTTCAACACATTGAGGAATATGCATTGGTTTCTGTTTCTGAAACTTCAGACTCAGTTACTCATTGACATAATCAGTTTCACTGCAAGATTACTACAGAACAGCAACAGATGTTAACATTGCAATTCAAAGTATGCTGAAAGAATTGCAGAAACATCTCTCAGCCTCTAAAGCAAAGTCTGTTCAGAATGTGATCTAGTAACTGCCTTTACATACCTGACGGACAAATCCTTTCTCTGTACTTGCCTGTCCAATTGTTATTTTGCGCAGGAATCTGTCATTTGTATCCACCACTGAAATAAGGGAATAGGAAAAGCAAAACATGTTAACAAGGACTTGGGGACCTGGGTTTTTCAAGACGTACCTCTTGCTATACATGTAAGATTCAACTACTCAAACTGTGTAACCAGACAGCCTCACATGTGGGCACTGACTTGGTTTTCTCCCTTCTAGTTGATACTATTAGATGACAGGTTGAAACAACTCAAGTACAATTTATTTGAACAGTATTTGGAGGTCACAGGTTCTTAATATTCTAACATACAACTTAATATTTTACCTACATAAGATAAACCTCAGTCAATACAATGCACCAGACCTACTTCAAATCATGTGCCTCATTACTGACTTGTTAGGAACTGATTTTAAGACTGCATGTTGTAGGTTAGACTTGGTCTGTTTCTCTTTTAAAGGATGATTATGTTGTCAGATTGTTTCTTCTAGACAAGTCTCTTTCACACACATCACAGTAACTAACTCCACATTGAGCTGCACTGCATTCAAAGGAAGATTTTTTTTTCAACTGTCAAGATAAACCATCTGCTATTTAATACAACTTCAATTTCAGACAATTGTATTTCTAACCTAGAAACACTTTTGGTGTTGCAAGGGCATGTCCAAATCATCTTGCGGAATTGCAAACTTCACTAACAATCATCGCAAGCCAAGTTCTCCAATTCTGCACTTACAACACTCAACTTCAAACCTGCCTTTGTAGTAGCCAAAAGGAAGGACTGAGAATAATCGAAGAGCTCTCATCTGCTGAGAACTGATCAGGATGCTTCCTAGGAAGAAACATTAGGAGGACGTCCTACATAATATCATTATCTCTGAAGTGGATTTGACAGATGGACCACTCAGTGAATAGGGAATTGGCTGGATGGTCACATTCAAAGTTGCATTCAATGGCTCAGTGTCCAAGTGGAGACCAGTGATGAGCAGTGTTTCTTGAGAGTGAGATGGAGTGCATGCTCAGCAAGTTTGCCAATGACACCAGGCTGTGCAGTGTGGTTGATGTGCTGGATGGAGAGAAGGAATGGCATCCAGAGGGACCTGGACAGGTTTGAGAGCTTGGCCTTTTCAAGCCTCGTGAAATTCAACAAGACCAAGGGCAAGGTCCTGCATGTGGTTTGGGGCAATATCAAGCACAAGTACAGGTTGGGCGGAGCATGCATCAAGAGCAGCCCTGGGGAGAAGAACTTGGTTCATAAGAGCCAGCAATGTGCATTTGCAGCCCAGAAAGCCCAGTATCCTGGGCTGCATCAAAAACAGCATAGCCAGCAGGTTAAGGGATGTGATTCTCCCCCTTTACTGTGCCCTTGTGAGACCCTACCTGTAGCACTGAGTCCAGCTCTGGGACCCCCTACATTAGAAGGAGGTGGACCTGTTGGAGTGAGTCCAGAGGAGGGCCATGAAGATGACCAAGGGATGGAGCACCTGTGTTATGCAGACATGCTGAGAGAGTCGACACTGTTCAGCCTGGAGAAGGCTCCAGGGAGACCTTGTAGCGATTTCCATTACTTAAAGGGGTTTACAAGAAAACTGGAGAGGGACTTTTTACAAGGGCATGTAGTGATAGGACAAGGAGGCATGTCAATCCCTACAGAATGCAAAAATAGAGTCTTTCTTTCTTACAGGCTCTGTAGTCCTAGAAATGTTTCAATTTGCGCCAACCCTAAAATAAAGGGGGGAAGACACTTTTAAACAGTTCAGCCTGTAGCTTGGCATTCAAATCTACATCTACTAAAAGACTGACTTGTGTTCATTTATAAGCAGAGAACCAAGGAACCTCAAGACAAGTTCTTGTACTCAAGGTCTGTGCAAATCAGTTCCTTCCACTGCTTTTAGAAATTAACAAATTTGTCTGTACAGATAAGGATGACATAATCACCCAAGAACAAGAGGGACTTTGAATCTCAATCTTACTCAACCCCGATTCAGGGTTGCGAGTGAGCTGGAAGAAAAACAAGGTTTAAGGCACTTCCCCCCTTCCTGGACATTTCTCTTGGGGCAGTTGTAAATACCATACATGCCTTCTTTCCACTACATGGTATTTAGGCCTCTGATTTCTTCAGGAATTCCATTTAAGGGATGGTGCAACACAGATTCAGCTAACTCAGTTTGGTTTCTATTTATATACAGTCATACTCTAAAATACTACAATACTGGCAGAAATTACAGGACAGAGCCTGGGACATGGAAGCCGTAGCTTTGTACCAAGCTGTGGTACCATATGCCACCATGAAGGCATATGGCAAGCTAATCTCTCAAGCACAAACTTTTCCCTTCTCCTCTTAGGAAACTCAGTCTCACAAGCAGCCTTAAGCAGACTTAAGTGTCTTTCCTGCCTACCCAGGTACTGCTGAGGGCAGGAACTAGCCTTCCCACCAGCCTGGACAGCCAGTGGGCTGCTTTTTATCTGGTCCTTCCTAGTGAAATCATGTAACCTGAACATCCTTACCGTGAATTGTAACTGCCCCTGCAACTTCTTCTGGTCACTGGGATATACTTACTTTCTCACTATGGTCATTCATTCTCCAAGAAGATTCCAATAACTGCACTAAGTAGTAATAAAATAAGAAATAACTTGTTTTGCCACAAAAGCAATTTTTCCTTCTCTAAATTTCCCCTCTTTCTTTACCCAAAGCAAATGTTTCATAAAAGTTTATTTTCAAACAAGTGCTAGGTTTAATGTATCCAATTCTTTATTCTCTAGAAATGTAAACAGAATCCAAATACCAGGGGAAGGGTAAGTAAGGGGAAGCTTTCCTGCTTTTCAGCATGTTGTATGTGTTCAAGTTAGTATAAGATGACAATGAACTTTAAGCTTGTGACACTTCTATGGAAACAGGTCCTGATTAAAATTAATTTTCAGAAAATCTGATAGCTTACTCTTCTTCCCCACAAATTCCCTGGTACGTAACAAGCTTCACAGACATATGGACTGTGGAAACAGTCCTAAATAAAACATTTTCCAAGTCATCTAAAACATTCCTAAAGCCAGTATTTTTTTTCTGAAATGTTTAAGGTATATACATCATATAGAGCTTTGTGGAATAGAAATTCCACTAACATTGTTTGAGATGAATTAAATAACTCACTTGAGGTTAACAGCTGTTGAGCAATTTTGCCTCCTCCCAAACCCATGCTGATAAAAACGAGTCATATTACATTAAATATTTATATTACTCCTTCACCCTAATACAGGTCTCTTCCAGACACACTGTGTGACTAATAAAAAACATCTTATGCCACATCCTCAGAATTATTTTGAGAAAAATATCCCAAGTTTGAGATGACATGCACACAAAGGGTACAGTAAAGCATGACCGAGACTCCTCAACAGATTCACCTTTTTTTCTAAGCATCACAATACATTCCATTTAACAATAATTTTTGAACTAATAACTTCAGTGTTTGAGAACTAAGAAGGAAAATAAAATTCAGTGGTATTTAGCTCAGAACTTTATGTATCATTTACTTCCTCAAAAAAGAAAAAGACAGATACAGAAGTTGAGGTAAACACTGAAATTTGACCCAGTACTAAAACGACAAAGCAGAGGGAGTTGCCTAAGGGTGGATATCAGTTTATTTGGCAACTTTACCACATTTTTAGCTCTTCTTCCTAATGAAGTAAATAACTCAAGACACTTCAAAAATAAGAAAAACACATAATCCCTTAAGCCTATTTAGTCTCTTGAGCTACCCAGGTTGTCGAGCTGGAGAGGATGAGGGACCAAAATCAAGAAGAGTAACTACAAATAATCTAAAACCATAATAGATACAGTTATGAAAAGAATGGCTAAGATTTGTAAAATGCACAGAAAAGACACTTCCATATGTTTGAAGACGTATTACCTAATGTGAGAGAGACCAGGGATGCATTTAAACTTTTAAAGAAACCTGTATTTCATAATTTTAGCAAAGTCTCTTGAGTTACTGCAGATATTTGGCCAAGTTTAGAGCAATATGCTACACTAACATTTGTTATGCACCTACATTTCACACTTGCAAACTGGTTATTCTTACAGTCAGAGAGCATAAACAACTCTGATTCAGGTAACATTAAGCAAAATAAGAAATAAGCTATTAAATCCAAGCTGAAGTGAGGCTTTCTGACTACATACCTCTTTGCCACGTTATGGTAGATGGGTCAATATCAAGGCGTGCAAATTTGCTGATCTCCTCTTCTGTTAAAGTCTCGGGATCAGTCTTGTTTATTCCCAGCTTCTACACACAAAACAAATTAAAGAAGTACAGTGAAATGCCTTATTTGCTTCAAATGGTATAGCTCCTCTGGCTTATCAACCTCACACATGTAAGTGAGGAGTTTCAATCTTAATAATCCTCTTTCAAAAAAATGTAATCCCATCCCATAAAGATTTTTTTTTTACAATGGAGTTTTTTTTTTAGATATAAGGAATCATTATACTAAGAATCATTCACAGCAAAATAAGTCAGTTATACTGGAAATTATGATGCATGTATTTGAATGTTATAAAGTCAAACTATTTTTTACTTAGTTGCAGCTTATATGAAGAGAGAAATCCATTTCAAATGCAGAGATAACTAGTATGTCATGAGTAACAGAAACACTTCCCCTCCTTCCCTAACCTGTTACCTGTAACAGTGTAAATGAGGACAAAATGAAAACACTCCAAAATTCTGACAGAACAATCTGTGAGAGGGACTCTGCTTTAGAGTCAAGCAGGCATCATACACAGTTTAGTTTACTGACATTCAGTTGAGCAGCACAAAAGCTTACAATGTTATGAGAACTTTCTTTTCCTCCCTTCCCAAAACAGAAGCTGGTACTACCTCTATCCCCCTTTCCACACCCCAATACCACGTGTGCACATGGCAGCTGTCCATTGCCATCCAATGACTCTGAAACAACACCAGTCAGGACTCATAAGCCAACAACAAACATGAAATTGGACACAGAAGACTGAAGCTGTCCTTAAGGGTCATATTCAAGGGGTTCAAATTCTCTTTCTCCTAAGCTAGTGGACTGTTTTGCTCTCTAGGTATTTATCAGAATGGCATTCTCAAATCCAGATATGTTATTCATACATGAATTGCACAGGAAGCTCTTCTGGAGGCATTTAGGAAGCAACATGGAATGCAAAAATACACTGTATGTACAAATGTACTTCTACCCCTTGAACAAAGTACACTGTCAAATTGACATCAATAAAACCCCAGAAGTATATGCTATAATAAATTTTAAAACCAGAAAATATTGCAAAACCAAAGAATGTGAGCTTTCAAACGTGACTCTACCATAATAGGAAAAGTATTTTAAAACCTCTAACTTTAATATTTCATCAGAAAAGACACAGCATTTAAAAACATTACTGGTTTATTTCAGGAGAAAAGAATAGCAAAAATGTTAGTTATGAAAATAATATCAGCCCCAGATCCTATTACTCCAAGGATGTTGCTTTCAGAAAAAAGTCTGGACTTGATAAATTCATGAGGGTTGATATAAACTCAGCCCCATACATCAAATAATTTTAAACAAGTTGTGTAAGAGAATCCATTTTATGAAGAGAGAATGTATATAATTTTATATATATACATATAATTATAATTGAGGAGAGACTGTATTAACAACTTACTCTCAGACGGGCAAGCTGAATAGCAGAAAATCCTCTCATGCCATTAACTACTGGAACCAGCCTATTATACAAAGACTAGAAAAAACACACAAGAAGTTAATGAAAGAAAAAGTTATAAAAAGCTAATTCTTTTCAAATTTATTCCACCTAATTTCAGTAAGAATTTTCCAACCACGTAAGTTGTGGACTTCTGGTTAGCCATTTAAAAATCAATTCTGATAAGGTAGAAGGCTTCTGAGCAATCTCTATGTCCAATTACCAAAAATTACTAGGTTTTTATGTTTTACCAAAAAAAAAAAAAAAAAATTTGAAATTGGGAACCTCTCAAAACTTGGCCAAGGCCCAAATTATTCAAACTATAATCAACATTTGCAAACTGGCCAAAGTGCACACTTGTGTTGTACCAAGTAAAGGGAATATGACAACCCTGCTCAGTTTTAACACTGCAGTCAGAAAGAAGAGGTTCCTTCCTTTCTTTCTCCCTTCCTTTTGAAGACTCAAGTTAGCATTTGTGTTAAGGTCACAATAGGTTTAGCAGAGGGAAAGTTTATTTTTCCTCACATCTCCTTCTTTTTAAGGTACATCATATCCAACTAGACATCAGAAGAGTAAATTGTAATTTTATGTGGAGTTTACAAATTATTGAAAAGTATATTATATATAGGGAACACATCCTTAATAACAATATTTAGTACAGTCTGAAATAGTTGTCAATATTCTGGGCATAAGATCCTTATCTTAAAGACTACCTTATGATAGCCATTTGCCAGAAAAATGTATTCTGTAAGGAAAATTTCACAGCAGAACATAGAATGGCTTCAGCAATAGTTCCTGTTCATATGGTGAAAATATAAAAATATAAACAAGTTGTTTTGCTTTGAAATGCAGTTTATTGAAAGAAGAAGAAAAAATGTCATGTGGATATGAGAAAATAATTCTCACCTTATCAGACTGAGTGTTTTCATGCAAGATCCTAGCATCAATAGCAGCAGCCAGCAAATTATTTGCAGCAGTTATAGCATGAATGTCTCCAGTCAAATGAAGATTGAACTAGAAGGTGAAAGCAACAAGATCTTTTTATAAGAAAACATTTAATTTAATTTATGAATCTCAGACAAATTAGCAGCAGCAATCTGCTTGAGGCTGCAGCCCTGATTAGTCACCTGTTTGTGTAGATTACATATTTCCAGGCTGAAAACACACTGAGCCATACGAAGGACTTGTTCCCACCTGAGTATGTGGTAAAATACCCTAAGCTTAGTCAAACAAAGCCACAAACATCTTCATTCTTTGCTAAATGATTCAAGAATGAGAAGTCAAGGGCTACAGTGTCACATAATTAATACTAAATCAGTTTACTGCTGGTAATTACTAATTGACCTGGACCAGAGGTGTAGATTACTGCTGAATCTCCCCCAGAGCACACCAAGCATGCTGGCTTTGGGGCTTTTGGTATGTCAGCTTTCTGCTAGCTGCAGAACATCTTATAACCTCACAGGCATGACACTGTTTGACCAACAAAGTTTTATGGAAAACTCCAAAATCGGCATCTTAGATTAAATTAAAACCTGTGTTACATAGGTACTGTATTTCTATGAATCTGACAGAGGAAGTCAGAAAGTCAGTTTTAATGACACTTCAGAGCCTACTGTGGAGGAGTAGTGACAGCAACCAACGCAAGCCCTTGACTTCTCTTAGGGTGAAACTGTTACACATTTCCAAACAAGCCCTGTGAATATCACAGAATCATTAAGGTTGGAAAAGACCTCCAAAATCATCAAGTCTGACCTTCAACTGAATACCATCATGCTCCTTAAAGTGTATCACAAAATGCAAGTTGAGGCTGTCTCACCTCCTCCATGGGGATCACTTGAGCGTATCCACCACCAGCTGCTCCACCTGTACAGGAAAGCATATGGTCTCATCAGACTCCCACTGGTTTTGAAAAAAAACCCCATCTTTAAATAAACAAAGTGAAACATACAGTGTTGATGACATATTTTCAGTATTTTTATTTCTATCAAAAAAGACCAGTGATGTTCTCAAATAAACGGGATTTCCTTAACCTTGCTGGCTTTTTTTCAGCAGACAGTAAAAAGGGAATTCTAGATCTGAAATGAAAGCCTACATGTGATGGTTGGTGCAGGCTTTGGCTACATAAGGGCTACCCTCTGCTCTTGCCCAGATTTAGGACACAGTCATGCACATGCAGTTGTCGGGTGGAAAGACATGGCAGTCACAAGCAAGAACTGCTTCTGAATGAAATCTTCGCACCCTCTCCTGAGTGCTCCTTCCCCCCTGCCTCTCAGGGTACAGGCAAAGAAATCTGCTGTAGCTTATGCACAAGTTGAGTGGAGGGATTAAAGCACTCACATGCACCAGTCTTAGCTGAGAAGCACCAAGCACCAGGAGCCTTCCAGCTGAAATCAAACTTTTTAACTTAAACTTCAGCAAAGCAAAGTAGAGCAGATGGGGAGTGCCCGTTAGGCACCAATTTCAGCTGAGAAATGGCAAAAAAAAGGATTGCATTACTTCCTATCAGCATTGAAGACAGGCTTGAAATCTGGCTTGGTCTTACCTGGCCCTCAGGCCTCAGGGTTTCTAGGCAAAAAGGCAGCAGGCCACGATTAGAGGTGACAGCTCAGGAGAACAGAAAGAAGAAGTTCAGACCTAGCCAAACATGATGCTGACACAGCTGAACCATATGCACAACTGCTGATTTCGTTGTATTGATTGGAAATATCCAGTATGGACTCTTCCTCAAGGAATAATTAAACAATAACACTTATGAACATATTTAGGGAGTCTCCAAGTAGAGGGGTGGCTGGAAGGGTGCATACTCGCAAAATTTCTCCTGGCTAATACATTCCTCTTCCTTTCATTACATTTGGGCTTTATCTGCATTATCAATACATGCTGAGTGCATGAACATAGATATGAACCTTGCACAGGAAGTTGTGTGCAAGACACCTTTAGCTATTAGTTACATACATATTAAAAAATCAAATATACTACCACTCGGGCAATCCACCGAGTGAAGTAATTAGGAAATTAAAAGAGAAGAAATAAAAGAAAAACCAAAAAAGTTGTATTTCCTTTTAATCTGAAAGAGGTCATAGGTTCTGCAAATGTTAGGTACCTTTAACTCCAAATGTAGGTCCTTGAGAAGGTTGTCTCAGACAAGCAAAGGAATTAATTTTAAGGTGTGCAGTAAGTGCCTGAACGAGACCAACTGTGACTGTGCTTTTCCCCTCTCCTAGGGGTGTTGGGGTTATTCTGGAAAAACAAGAAAAAAGATTAATCAAATTCTTTGCTGATGTCAGCCTGGCTAAGGATATCTGAACCTAAAGCTTTTGATTTCAATGAAGAATATTTGTACAGCAAATTTTAATAAGATTACTTTATCTTCACAAAAATACTGCCACAATGTTAGCCCCTAGCTCAAGCTGAAATGCTAATATACATGTGTCTTCTATTTAAGCAATTTACTATGATAGCAGAAAAAGAGAAGATTATTTTGGCAAAAGTTCTAAAAAGAATATATTGAATTTAGACATTTTTATTACAGCACAAAAATCTCACCAGTTTCATTAACAAACCATCCATCACAATACTCTAAGCATGTATTAATACTCTTTTGTAGTAATGCATGAGATCTTTTATTTCCACTGCTCAAACTTTGAATGAAATAATAGAATATTTTAAATTAAATAACCAACATTTTTGTTTGTAGAGCTCAACTATCCCTCTCCAGCTTCTATGTCATCATAACCCTCAACAATGACAGATCAATTGCCTTTCAAATAAAACAGGACACAAAATTCACTATATTCAACTTAACATGATTTATTTTACACTTGAGTTTCATGATATTTTTGCAGATTTTAGGGTAATAAGGGACAATGACAATCATAGTCCACACAAAAGCTCAAAAGCATCATGCTACAGCTCCCACATCTAGACCAAATTGAATAGAATTTTAGAAAGATATCCAATCTCAAATCAAAGACTCTAACCTCCACTATATTCTTGTCCCTAGAGAACACTTGATTCTTGCCCCTTTAATGAAGGGACAATGACAGCTGATTTTGCAAGTAGAAAACTTATCAGCCTTCAGTGAATGAGAGACATCTCAGTTTAAGTGATGTTCTTCCTACTTCCAACATCATCACACTTGTTTATGATCCATGTTAAAATTGCTTGATTTGATCAACATAACTGGTCTACTCTGGCCTCAAATCGGGAGGCCTGGAGACACACCATCTATAACGCTGCTGATGCCTTTGAGAAAGCACACAGGATCACTCTCGAGGAGAAAAGGCAACGCAGAAAGAATCGTGTCTTGCAGAATATACCACCTAAGGAGTTTTTCTGCTGTGCCTTTTGCAATCAGATATGTCTATCTCGTATTGGCCTCATTAGCCACCAGTGTGCCTGTAACAAATGTGGATAGAGCCTTCCTAAATCTTCGTTCGTGAAGCCCAGCCATGATGATGTTAAAATTGTGTAGGGGTGCTAGGGTTTTACTCCTCTTTCTGTTTTTCCTCGTTGAAGTATGAACACATCTCCAAAATGCATTCAGATGATTCATTTTAGGCACAGCATTTCTTTTTCTGACTGGCAAAAGACAAAAGCTCCACCCCAGTCCTTTTTCCACTCACATCATTTTCACAAATCCTACTGTATGGCAAAGTGTAACCATTCGGATCTTTGCTGCCTTCTCTACCTGCAGAGAAGTACTTTGGTGAAGCTGATGTTAAGAACTAATGTTCATTCCCAAAGAAATACAAGTATGCACACACATCGTAGTGAAAGGGGAACCCTTATCCTATGACCTCTTCAAAATTTGAGCTAAAACATCTAGATCTAATTAGAAACACTTCCTTTCCCCACCAGTAATTTTTCCAAGATATTGCTAGCCTCAGATCACAATTCAAATGGCATAAAAGCATTAGCATAATCATAAGATTCAGCTTAGTTCAGTAAGTTCACAGATTGGCAAAAGCCATTCTTTGTCCCACAAATGTAAACAGATGAGAAACACTAACTTTTCACAAATCTATCTTTTACAGCAGCATCAGATTCAGGGTTTTTTTTTTTTTTAAAAAGAAACCTTTGTTAGGTATGTCTGGAAAAATTTGGGTAACAGGAGGCAAGCCAAATTAACAACTTCATACTGTTCTAGGAAAAGAATTTCCTATTTAGAAAAGTAGTGTTTTAACTAAAGTTCCAGTGAAATCAATGGAGTTTAGCACATCTATAAGAGAATCCCTGAGCTAAGACTCTTCACCTTGAACTGCTCTTATATGACCATGTATTACATGGGTTACTTAATGTAGGCGTTTGGTTTTAGTAATTTTTTTCCACATTTATAACATTGTGTTCACCAACCATCAAACTCTAAAACATTGTCAATAACTTACTATCCAGGCTATTTCATCATCTTAGAATGGCACTCCTTTGACTTAAAAGGAATTCACAGAATTTTAGCAAAATACCCACGTAGAGCCAACAAAAGGTGGGAGAATTGGAGCATATCTTTTATCTGCTCTCAAAAGTGGTTTTGGTCCTTGTCATCTTTTATCCGTACTTGGACTTCTTATTTCCTTCTGATCTACTGCAGTAGCATAGAAGCCTACTTCATTTCTTTTACTTTCAAGTTTGCAGTTCCCAGAAGAATGGATACTTTTATCTCTACATTGTCAGGACAGGGAGCCCTCAGGCTGTTTACTGTTGCCACAACAATAGCTTCCAGTTTTTCCATCACTATTTTTGCCATCTCTTTTTTGTCCTAGGATTCTTACTTTTGTACAAACATGCTTCTTTCAGAGCACCACAGCCAGGTTAAAATCACTTTCGCTACCAGTTTCACTCTTCTGACTACTGTTCTAACACTGGTTTCCCAAAACCCATTCAAATCATTCTTAGCATTGTGTCTTCCTACCCCTTGTTCTCCTACTATCTCATTAATTTTTGTCTATTGTCCTCATCTCATTTACTTGATCCTCTTATTCCAGATTAAAGCCAGATTTATGAGTAATCTTGAGGCATTACTGCACTCAAAGACTTAAGAAAGTAAAAACTAGTTATCTATTAATTATTTGAAAACAATAACAACAAAACAAAAAGGAAAAGCAACAAAAGCAAAACACCAAAAAGCAAACTATTCTACTATGAAAGAGTCACCTATAATTGTTTACTGGAAGTTACCAGTAAAGAACTTTACACAAACCCCAAAAACTCAGTGCACACAACGTCTATATTACTAATGGAACAACTTGTATTTGCAATGTTTTCTATTGCTGGCTATCTCTATTTCTGAGTATCAGACACACGAAGTTCACATTCAAGAGAATTCAGAGACACCATCACTAAATTATTTACTCAGTTGCAGCTCAAAACATGGTAGGTGGCTGACCTGGTGTGCACAGCAAGGCAGGGACTCTTTACAACTCTTACAAAACAAAGATGCAGCCTCCTATCCAGTAAAGGAAAGGAAATTGGAATAGACAAATACATAAACAAGAAGGCATGTTGGTAGTAGCATGAAGGATAGTATCTATTTGTCACAGAAGATAACACACAATCAAGTGCAACATTACTAAAATGCTCTTGTAACTTGACTGGCCTATTCTAAAACGACTAGGTAAAATGAGCCAGAAAGCCCTGTGAATTTTCTGTAAGACAGATCTTTTTCCAAAAACCAAAAAGAGAAACACACCATTGCTCATTGATTAAACTGACAGGAAGAGATCTTGCCTCTGCTGAATTTCCAGTGCACTGATATACTCTGCACCAGCTCTAAACCTCAGCTTTAAATATTAGTTAAAAGAAAAACAAAACAAAAGTCTGAAATTAAAAGAAAATTTTATTCCAAAAATTTCCCTTGGAATGCTTATTTAAAACATCTTTCCTTTTGTACCTGGTCTACTTTGATCAGTTTTTATAAATACAATAATCAACTTAAGCTGTTTTGTGGACACTGAAATATTTTTGCTGGCTACACTACAGAACCTACACTCTTGTAGTTTAGGTCACTCTATCACATGGGTATAAAATTACAACTGCCAATGGCTAACTTTAGCTCAGTTGCGCAACGTGCGAGATTTCCAGGAGAAATCTTCTTTAAAATGCAGTAAATTTTAATGAATTTCAAGAGACTTTTACAGCCATTTGCATTATTCTTCAAATTTCTTTAATATGTTTTCAATCAAAACATAGAAACCCCACCATCATTTTCCTCCTTAAAACTTACTTTGCCACCTACCAAGCAGTCATCAGCTCCTTGGCAAAGTAAGTTTTCCATAACACTGAAAGCCTTCTCTCTTTATGTATACCAAAACAAAGATAAGAATATGCAGACTTTTTGTTTGTTTGTTATACATCACATTAGCTTACAGCAGAGCTGTTTCTGTGGGAAAGCTACATGAGGTCTCCCAAAGAGAAAATAAACAAACAGGGAGATTCTGTAACTTCCTCACAAGGGCTATGCCAGCCGTTGTGACTCCAGCAAGAACTGTACTGGATATGTGACAATTCTCTCTAAATTTCCTACCTTAGACTTATAGGTATCAGCAGCTTCAAAGATTTTAATAAGCCCATAATTCCTGTGATCCACATGGAAACCAGTCTATGGAGGCCACTTACATACATATCCCATCCAAGATTACAACTGTCAGAAATATATTTCTGAGCACAGAAGTGTTGCAACTACTGTCACCTCAACAAGGTGACATTATGACACCATTGCAGTGGCATCTTCATCTGGGACTGGAACTTCCAAATATGAAAGCACAGATATCACTGTGAAGCTGAAATGACTGAACAAAGACAGGAACAGACTGAGGAATCCTCAACTACAAACTCTTAAAAGCCGCTAAAGCCTCATCCAAGGTAATTCCAATCAGGAGCTGTGCAATGACATGACGAATACCTGACAAACTGTCTCAACTATGACTTTGCTTTGGACTGTCAGACAATTCAGTGCATCAACAGAGGGCTATTTTCCCCTCTTACTCTTCCCTGTATTTTTCCTTTATTATATGTTTTCCCTTTTTCTTAGCTTTTAAGTGCCTTGTGGCCCAAGAAACACAGTGAAAAGAAATACAATCCAATACATACCTCTCAGAGGCTAAATGCAATCCCAAATCTGAAAATTGTATCCCCAAAGTATTTACCATCATACAGCTTGTACAAGGCATTAAGTCAGTATTTATTTTCCTACCTTACTGAAAAGGTAGTTCATCACAGAACAATCTATTACTGCTAGGGGAAAAGTACTGATTTTAAATTTTCCAGCATTCAAAACCTAGCGCTCTTCTTGCTAAAAGCAGCATCACATTTCATAATTTTCCCACATTCTATTATTCCTCATCTTGCATTTTTGAAGTGAATGAGTTTCCAGAATTATCTGGTAAAAGCCACACCACTAGAGCATGTAGAAACAAAATGTTGCAATATATACACACATACGCTCTAGCAAATTTTAGCTGTAATTTCGTAATGTGTTTGCAAATATGCTATCTACATTCTTGAATGCATGATTAAGTTACCCCAGGCACTAAACTTAGCTAGTAGGTCATGCACAAGCTTCATTCATTTGCATGCTTTCAGCTTGCAATAAGTGGAGGCAGTTTGTGTTAACAAATCCAGCGACATACTATTTAGCACACTAAAAGCCTGTATGTAGTCAGTTAATGCCCAAGAACCAATTACTACATGGTAACTCATGACTCTGTCCCTATGGTGTCTTAACACGAGCCCTGTAACAAGCCAAAGACAGAGACAATAAAAAAGCAAGAATGAAAAGAAGTGAAAGAAATGCTCTCCATACAGAACAGAATGAAAGTTATGAAGAAATAAAGTCTTCATCCTATTTTTGTGTGACATGATCTGTTAATCAAACTGCAATTTTTCAGCATACAAGTTTGTATTGGATGAGGCACTTAAATATATTTGTTTGTATTTAGAAAGAACAAAAAAGACTTTGAAGTTAGCGGTAACTTTTAAAAAAGCCATAAATACAGACATCTTTACAGATAAAGAAGTACATTTTAGTTGCATTTTACTGTTCAGAACACCAAGTTTGGTCTCTAGCATACCAGGAATAAACTAGAAGAGCATTTGCAGCAAATATTTATAATTCCTAGACACTGTGAAACATTTAAACCCAAATGTGCAGTTACAGGCTCAAATGTTGCTGGTTGCATCATGGATGGAGGTTGGAGATTTTGTAGTTTGTTGAATACACACACACACACTTTACACTCCCTTCACATATGCAAAGTTCCCATCATACATTATAAATATTTCTGCCAGGTCAAATAACCTGAAGTATAAGCATATAGCTTAAATGTTTCCTCTGAACCACTGAAAATTTATTCTGAAGACCTATACTGCATCATTCTAAAAGAATTTCTAAATATCTTTGGTTATTGTGAACAAACACAATAATCCAAATGGCAGGTTTTGGTTGACCTTGCCTTGGCAGGCAGAGAACGAAGGCAACTGAGGATACTATTTCACTCCCTGATTTCCACACTTCAGTGATACTCGATTTTCATTGTACTGAACATCTCCTCATCAGATAGAGTTCCCTGCTTTTCTTAACATCATTGTTGTCTGCTACAGTTATTTCAGGAAATGAGAACAGCTGAGAGCATACAGACACACATTATATGTATATTTTATATGTAAAATATTTTGAAGTCAAGCTTTGAACTCTCTCAGAAGAATGTTCCCACTGTCATAGCTACCTTGCTATATAGCACTCCTCCTTCAGCAGATGTGGCTTTGTACTAACACCACCAGATTCAATGACTTCAGAGATGTTAAAAATAGCAACATATTGCATCATCAGGTTGTGTAGGCACCAAACTCAGCCGCTTGTTTGTGAAACACCATTCAGTATTTGTACATGTTATATCAACTTAAGAAGATACAATTTTCTATTTGTTGCCATCTGCTCATCTGGCTAGTCAAAACTTCTGCATTTCTTCCACATGTATATAGGCTTTCTTCTGTGACAAAAATTGCTTGAGACACCTTCTTTGTAGAAGACAGGGAGACAAAGAAGTGTGAAGAAACGTAAGCACTTGTGTGAGCAATCTGACACAACTAAAATCCACCTGAATGGGGCATTGCGACGTGCTATCTTGCATCTCCAGACATTTTCAAATAACCTCTGCTTCTATGAGAAGTTTGCTGATAGAGAAGCCTGGTTCAGCCTGTAGCATGGTGCCCAGTTGATGCCGCTGACAACACGAGCATGAAAATACATGGCAGCAACTTTCTTCAAACTCAGCCAAATGCTGAACACATTTTTGTTTCTCCAATGCAGCAAAAAAACCCCAAACCAAAATAAAACTCTATCAAAAGAAACCAAGCTCAACCAGCATTTACTTCCTTCTCTTAACTGCTCCAGCATCCCCAAGAACATCTTTATATGCTGCACTTCTATCACACAGCTTCGAAGAAAGCTTCATAGCTTGCCTCAGCTTTGTAACATCAGGTCTCTCAGTCTACAATGGCTCCATCTCAGACAGTGCCAGAAATCCACTGTGTCTCAGCAAGAAAACAGTAAAGTAAACAGTTTGTGAAACACTAGCCGAGGTGAGGAATCAGTAGATCAAGGCAGTTAAGAACAGCCTTCTCCTTCTGGATTAGCCTAAAACTGTATTTTAAACCTGAGTGGTTTTACTTAGAAGGAAGTAACCATATAGATTAACGCAGAATATAAACAACACATTGCAATTTAAATATTAATGAAAACCTACATTTGTTCACAGGTAGAAGTTTCCACTTAGTAAACTAGGTGAATGAAAAAATTGTGTCACTGAATGCAAGAAAAACCCGAAGCTCTTCAGAAGAGAAGTGCATAATTCCTGCTGAGCTTAGCATTTGCTATAATCGTGGGAACAGCAAGCAGGATAAGCCTGCCTGGAGACATGTCTACATTTCAGAGAAAAAACGTGGCTTTTTAAACTTTGTAATCTGTTCTTCAATATAAAAGTATTTATTGTTAATATCAACAGATTAGCATGTAGCTTCTGTTAACATTTGTTTATAAACAGACACAATACACTCAGCCTTAAATATCCAAGTTAAACAATTAAAATTCTGATAAAACAGTAAGAAAAACTCCATGCACCAACAGATAACATTTCACAGAATCATAGAACAAACTACCTTTTATAAAATATACTTTACTTCAGTAATAACAGTTTGGAAGAAAAGCTGTGTTACTTCAAAAAAGTTCAAAATCTGTTCACTTTCAGAACAGAGCAACATACAGATGAAAACATTCAGGATTCTTATTTGTGCAGTGTATAAAAAAAAGATGTAAGTTGCATGTTTATATTAATATGAGTGGAAAGAGCGGACACTAATGATGTTACAGTGCATTCTTACCCAGCAACTAGAACATATTTTCCATCTGGTTGATCCTTTAACCTTTCCAGCAGGGACAAACGTACTTTGGCTTTGGTTTGACCATAGATCTCAATTTCATCTGTAAGCAATCCTATCTCCTTGGCAAGTACATCAACAGCTTTTGGACTCTGTGCTCGGGAAATCTCAATATCACTGGGAAGGAAAACAAATAGGAGACAGGAGATTTCTCTCAGCTTAGGTGGTCGACGACAGAGCACAAAACAACAGCAAATAATCCAACAATGGAGTTACTGTAACGAGTTTTTCAATCCTCTCTCACATTTTATTAACCAAACCTAAATATTAGCTAACACCTAATATAACATTGAAAATCACGTGCAGTGTTTGTTAATTGTTACAATTTCACAGAGTTCTCTCGTTTAATCAGACTCCAAATATTATGTAATGCTTTCATATCAAGCTAGAGACGTGTCTGCTGGATGCTCAAGCATGTCCCACTGGAATGGATGTTTCTGGTTTTGTTTTTTCTTTCTCTTCTCCTCCCTCGCAGCATATTTCAGCGCATACAATTTACTGAAAAGTGTATACATTCCTTGGCCAACAGTCACACAAACACATTAGCTATACCTGAGCGCCATGCAAGCTCAGCCTCGCTACTCCCCAATGAGGGCACCAAAGGAAACAAGGCATTTGAAGACCAGCTCATGCTCTTCTAAAACACAGCTAAACTAAGCATGGCCACAAAGGAGGAGCTTAAAGTACAGGGCTCAGGCCAGACATCCAGTGAGCTTATGAATATCTCCAGCAAGGACTGTGAGTGGCAGCTGAGGCAAGCACACATCATAGATTACCTGAGGGGAGGTGGTTGTAGGCTAGGGGACACTACTGTATTTGGAATTCCTGACCTAAACCACCAGGGGTCTTTGGATTTAATACTCCTTTATGGATTTTTCATCTGGGAGCTTGGCCTAGTTGCCCATTATGTCCACATAAACGTTTGGCAGCTGTAAGCTCCTGCAGCAGTGAAGCCCAGGACCCAGCACACAAGATGTGAGGAGTTGTCTCCTTTGGCAACTTCAAAAATACTTTCAGCCTAACCAGGCTAAATTCCTTCCTGTAGTTTCAGCTGATTACAGTATTTTTAAAGATAGAATCTGGCAATGGTATCAAAGCTAATGTCCTGAACTTTCAAACAGTCTGCAAGACCTTAAGTATCCACCAATGAACACAAAACTACTGGCAGATCTCAGCTCTGTGTGTGGACTTTGGCTGTTTTCTGCATTCACCAGCAAACGATCAGTCTGTGCCAATTTAATTGCTCGCAATTCTCAGAGGACATCCTAAACTGGGACCATTATTCAATTATAATTCTCAAGTAGTCCACTTTTGCACCCTGCAGCAGCTAAGTGAAATCCAGAAACCATCCATCCAAGCAATGACATAATCCAGTACTACAGGACAAGAAGTTACTCAATTACAGCACTAACCTGGAATCCACTTTCTTTCAAAGACACACTAAGCTCATCCTCTTTCATAGAAGGATATACCTCTGACTTTCTTATGCATTACTTCAAGCACAACTAGCAATAAAAATGTAACATGAACAGATGATGGAGTGGCTTTCAAACATCACATGGCAAAGAATATCTCAAGTTTTCATTGAGAACTTTCTATATAAAGTCCCAGAAAACTATTGGTAAGTTGATGACAGTGTGGTCCCTTAAAGATTTAAGCACAGAAAATTTTCAGGGTGACTATTCTATTCATCAAGTAATTGATGCATTTGACAAGAGGAGAAGGATGTAGACTAAAATGACAAAGTTAATTTGCCTTCTTTAGCTCCTATTAAATATATTGGCCTCTTTACTAAAAGACAGAAGTTATTATTTCAAATCTCAGGCCAGACTATCAGGACTCCCTGCAGCAACCTCAGCCCTTCCTATTTCCCTCATTTCTTCCTCCTCTTCTCCTGGAAGAAACGACGAGGTTTTTCCCAATCTGGAGGTCCCAGTACTGGCAAAAAGTGGAAGAAGTGAAACTAACCAAGTTGAACACTTATAAATAAATTAAAAGGTAAAGAATTTCTAGATAAATTAAAATTAGATATATTTTTAGAAGTCAAGTAAAATTGACAGTGGGTGCTAACAGTTATCCCTTGGTAAAACCACTGCTGTCATCATTTTCCCATTGAAATTCCCACAAAAACCTTCAAAGCAACCAGACTTTTAACAACTTAGAATCCTTTTAATGACAGGTTGAACACCGATACAAGCAATAAAATGATAAAAGGCATAATTTAACAGTGAATTTACATTTATATGTTAACTACTACTGGGGCTATATGAAACATATGAAATGTTTGTATCTCGTCTATTATTTCTGGCAAATGTTTTTCCTAAAACACAGGAAATTAAAAGATTTGGTTACAACTAGCATTTAGAAATCTAGATTTGTAGATGGCTCTTTTAGTCTGACAATATATTCTCTATATTAGAAATAACAGAATTACTCAATAAGTTACATTATTCAGTATTGCTGGAAATGCGCAATAGTGTTTCTTCTGCATGAATGAAAATTGTTAGGCAAGAAGTCCACCACTGACAATGGTAAGTGATAATTTAAAAAATGCAGGAAAATGTAAAAGATGGGGGAAGGCTCTACATCTACTCACCTGTGTGTTGTTTTTTTTTTTACTGCATATTTGTAAGAAAATTTTCCATTCCATACCCAATAGATTTGGAAATACTTCAATTAAGACCCAGATCTCACAGAAATCAAAAAGCAGATGTTCTTAGTTTTAGTGCTTAAGCAACTTTGCCTCATTTTCAATGAAAACTCCATCTGTTTCCACACAACGTGGTTTATTACTGCAAGATTACATTTTATTACAGGATACTTTCCATCTGAAGGGTTTCTTTACATTTAAAGAAAAAAAGACATAAAGCTATAGAGTTAACAGAAAAATGCAAGTCCTATTACTGCTTATATTATATGCCATTATATATTAATTATGTAATTATTTATGTACTAAACACACAGTGTTGTAGAGAGGGTTGGGAATAATGTTTTTCCAGGGTTTTTTTTACCATCATACTCATGACATCACATACTTTAATCTAACTTTTAACTGTATTATTTAAGGCTAGTTTTTTCTGGCTTTAGTTCTAGAAATTGAACATGCTGGTCCAGAAAAAGCACAAGCATTTCTTCCCCCTTGTGCCCCTGGATACAACAGAAAACTCATTCTTTCGGCATCTCTGTTTTAAACTACAACTGTGTCCATTGCCATTCAACTGCTGTAAGAAAACAGTGAAAAGTGAATCAAAATGCTTAGAGAAGAAAACATTTTGTTTCAGCTTTCCCAAAACACAGCAGTAGGACTCAGAATTACAGAATCACTGAGTGGCTGAGGTTGGAAGGGACCTCTGGAGGTCATTTGCTCCAACCCCCTGCTCATGTAGGGACATCTAGTTGCCCAGGACTGTGTCTAGGTGGCTTTTGAATATCTCCTATGATGGACTCTCCACAACCTCCCTGGACAATCTGTGTCAAAGTTTGGTCAACCTCACAGTGAAAAAGTGTTTCCTGATGTTCATGGAGCTTCCTGTGTTTCAGTTTGTGCCCATCGCCTCTGGTCCTGTCCCCGGGCACCGCTGAAAAGAGCCTGGCTTGGTCCTCTTTGTATTATTGTACATTGTATTTATACACACTGATAAGATCCTTCAGAGCCTCCTATCCTCCAGGCTAAGCAGTCCCAGCTCTCTCTGACTTTCTGAAGTGAGGTCCCTTCAGGGTCTGCATGGCCAAGAATCAGGCATACAAATAAGCACAAAAAAATTTCAACACTCTCCTGCATGGCAGAATCTCACCTCAAGTACTCAGTTCCTCCCTCCATCAGCCAACATAACCAACAAGTAGCAAAGCACTTTAGCACAGTAAAGGGCTCAGGTTGCTCTAAATGTCAGAGATGTCAGCAGCTGTGCCGAGGCAGACCTGAAATCCCTGTGGCCTGACATGGGCCTTGGGAGGTGAATGACAGGAACTGATTGAAAAGATTCTGGTTATGAGAATAAATATGCTTCCTGGTTTTCACACCCACAGAGGAATTTAAAAGTCTAATGCTGAAGAAAGTACTTCTGCTGAGGGAAGGAAATAAATACAAACTCAAATGCCACTGAAATCACTGAGCCTTAACTAAACACCTTCCTACATTAGGGTTTAGCCATTAGGAACCTCACATATTTTTTATTTCTGTTGATATTGCAGAAAGCTTCAACTCCTTTCCTCAACAAAACCTTCCAGCTATAGGTCTTCATTAAACAAAGCTCGACGCCAATGTACATCATAAAAGTAAAAATTGATAGAAAACAGAAGGATATGGTCCCAATGAGGCATACAAGAGAATAGCACAACATGTAGTTCACATAACATTAAAAGTTAATTAGGTATGGGCCATTTTTACATTTGTCACGTTTAACACTGTCACATTTAACACTTGCCCACTCTTTAAATATTTTATTAAATTTTAGTTCTTTAAAAGCACTTATTACCTGGGCACTGGGGAGAGGGGCTGCAGTTTCAAGCAGTGCAGGTTCCACTTCCTGTACTGATGGGACTGGATCCATCGCTCCATGGTTTTTACCATGTTCTGGTTTTAAACAAGGAAACGGCACCAGCTGCATCATAAATGCTGAACACTAATTTCAAACTATCTCAAGAGTACGTTGAAACAACTTCTACTGCAAAGGCTAACAAAAAACCCCAAACTTAAAAATCTTTCCATTTCATGGTTTTAGGACAAAAACACTGTCATATTGTTTGACCACGTTTCAAAACAAAACAAAACTCCATTAACACGTAAGTGGGCAGAAAAAAGTCTCTAATTAGGCACGTGGACATTTTATTCCGGTAAGATGGAGAATTACTAGTCTTCTCTCACACCATAAAAATAATGGAAGATACTAATTGTTCATTGACTGACTTATGCTGCTTCCACATTAAGTAACAAACTTTTGAACCCCTCTATACATGATGACACAAAAGTACGGACAGATATAATTAATCTTCACTGTCTTACCAGAATAAGTGACATTAGTCTATTGATACAAGTGCTTCTGCCAAGCTTTACTGTATTCACCAGAATTATAACATTTCATTTTTAATTTACCTTTCTCTAATTAAATGTAGCAGGCATTACATTAATCTGATTAAGAGTTGCTATTAAAATGGAAGGCAGGCAAGATGTTCAAAAGAGCAAAACAAAAGTTAAAATCTAAACTGCAGAAGCAATTTCTAGAGCTTACAGAAAGAGCAATAAATCTACAACACAGAAGTTACACTAACCTGCATTCTCATTGCTATTGCAAGAGAACCAACAGCGTTTTCTGCAGCAGAGGTGTTTTGCTGACCATAGTTGCGTTTCTCTGTAAAACATAAGTATTGCACTAATAAATCACAAAGCTTTTGTGAGTGGGAGCATGTGTATTTGAAAGTTATGTCCAAATAAAAAATTTCTGAATGTTGACTTGAAATTTTACAATGTTACTGACAAAATTAGAGGTGGCTTACTTAATATTTCAAATGAAATCTCCCACAAGAATGGATATACGGTAAAAATCAGAGAGTAACTGTATGCTCTGAAACATATTACACAAACACGTAAGAAAATTCACACAGCTGTGAGGATTTGAAAAGCTATACATATTCTTAAACAGAACACATAAATGAACATGGTAAAGACTGTTTTCTCAACACACCTATTACAGCAAAAGAGAACAATGAAATGATCACAAAATACTATATAGGATTATTAACCAATGGGATTTATAGTTTAGAAACAGAATATGTGAATTTTTTTGAGCAGCAAAAGTTATCTTCATCAATGTGACATTAAAAGTAGATATTCTGAAAAATCTATACAATTCAGAGTGACTCCAACTTTAGAGGCAGTTATCATTGTTTCTAGTGGCAATATATCAAATAATAATCATACATTAGCTACCCTAACCAAACAAATTATTTTGTCATTTTGCTGTGATCCTTCTTCTGGCTTGTTCTTCTGTTATTGTTTATTGATTTTTATCTAGACACAATTTCTCCAAAATTCACATCCTAGTCTCTGTGGGCATATCAAGGCCCTAGCTGCATTCTGAAGGGCGTAGACATAACTGTAATAAAAAAATAACAACTGCACACTGACAGCTTTAACCTTTCCCCCACAGGGGAACTGAAGTGCAAACCCTGACCTGGTCAAGCTCTCCCTCTACTCACCCCATCCGTACTAGTCATAAAACACTCATGTTGTCTTGCACAATTACCCCTCCCGACAAGGGTCCCAGTCGCAGTGAGGCACAGAGAACTCAGACTGGAGCCAGTGTGGCAGGCAGAAGTAGGCAGAGGAGCCAGCACCCCACCACTCCCACCCAGCTCCAGCTTGCTCTGTCACATCCATCACTGAGAGAGCAAGAGCCCATCTCTGCAGACACCCTTAGTCTCATTCTGTGCGAATCCTAATCCTTTCTCAAACTTTCTAGCCAACAGGCACCTATACATCAGTGACAAAGGCAACCAAGCAGAAGGTAACAGTCCTGATATTAAACTCTAATTAAGAAAGTCTTGGAAAAATCCTTCTACTTACATTTACACTTGCTATTAAAAAAAAACAAACAACGAAACAACAAAATCTTCTGGAGATGTTCAGCTTTAGATACAGACAGAAGAGTTTTACTGGAACAGTTTATCACAGTCATAAGATGACTGTTGTTGCTTTGAGATCAGGCTGGGAGAGCTGCCAAACATAAATGAAGTAGGGAAAATGGAGTTTAAAACCCCCTTTCAGACAGCTGTGCTTTACAGAGACATTTTGGCTTTTTATGTTATTTGGCTTAATATGACTTTTTTATCAGGGCAGAGCTAGCACGTGTGTAAATACATATCAGAATTAGACAATTCCCTTCAATAAACTACTTCTCCTAGACTGCCTATGCTACACAGTCACCCCACAAATGACTAACCAGGCTTTTACAGGGGTGAAGGCGAAGCACTAGAGGTGAAAGTCATGCACACATGGAATTAGCAAGACAATCACAGGATTGCAACAGCTCTTGTAGGATAAATTTTCCAGATGGGAGCTGGAATAGCGCTCTGCTTTGGACTATGGCCAGATCAGCTACAATCATTATGATCCCTCCTCTGAATTGTACCCTGTTGTGCAGATGGGTGAGAGCCGCTGTCATGTACTACCTGTCTGCTCATGCAGCTGAGAATAGAGAAGAGGTGGGGAAATGGTTGAATTTCCTACTAACATACTTAAAACCATATAGGCTTCAGCTGTCAAGTGACCCCAAAGAAACTGGATATCAAATCCCAAATAATTCTGGCATCCTTAAGTTTTGTTCAGAAACTTATTTTCATTTCTATACATTCACATTTAAAGTATATTCTTGCAAGACACTACCAGCACTCACCTGATTCCAAGACCCTTAGTGCAACAGCAGCAGATGTTGCACTGCTAGAAAATTCTGAAATTTTTGAAATGTTGCTAGAACATCTTAAAACTGTGATAATTTAAAAATATTTGCTTAGATTAAAAAAATACTTGAAAAAGAATTTTGTCACTTTGCAGTGAGCACTTTTAGCTCTACTCTCCTGGCTTACATCATTATATTTTCCCGGTTCACCTATGTCCTTGCAAATTTTGAGTGCTTTTAAAACACACAAGTGTGTTAGACTACATATATGCTCTTTTAAGATAGAAATCCAGCCACCATCTAGCAGGAACAAAAGTTACTTCATGGCCATTAGTGCTTTCAGGCTTCATTTAGCTCCTGTGATCCCACAGATGTTAAGCTGAACATTTCTAAAGCAAGAAAAAATCCAGAACAATTTCCAAGCACCTCTGCCAGATTCCATGAAAGTGAAGAATCAGTTATAAGACTCAGTTGTTTCTCCAAGGTCATAACTGCTCCACAGTGGGCTTTTCACAAACATCTTGCAATTAAACTAAGTGCATTCTTCCTGTCAGACACCTGTCTTTCAGGTACTTCTCTAGTAAGCTTTGAGACCAGCATTTTTTAAAGCTGCTAAAATGCATTTCTTCTATAATTTTGGAGTTTCTGCAAGGTTTTGACAACATCAAAAGCATAATCATAAAGACAGATAAACATTTGGTAGATAAGTTCTATTTAAATTATCACTACAAAAATCTCATGCTGCCTTTCAAAAAAAAAAAAAAAAAAGCAGTACTTAACCCAGCCCACTGCAACAACTTTAAAAATGCAAAGAAATGTATACGCTTATGCCAAATCTTACATTTCATGCCTAAAAAAATGAATGTTGCTTTGATATGAAATGCAGTTTTTCTAATAGCACTCTTTCAGGGAAGGGAAACACTAATATTATCTAGAGTTCTATAGAGCAACTAAGGCATGAAGATATTTAAGTCTCAAGACACAGTACATATTGCAGAACTTTTAGGTCTCTGAAGGCTCAGACTCCCTCTGCAATGGAAGGAGAGAACTGGGTGTCCAAAAGTGGGACTTGCACTAGACAACACATAGTGCTGGGAGAGTCCAGTCACTAGTGGTGCCCGGTCAGGTTGCAAGGACTGGCTTATCTCCATCCTGCCAGAACAGACCTGCACCTCCGCCCCAAGTCTGACACACAAGAGGTTTCTGCTTAGAAGCATTAAATGAGGAGGGGAGATTCCCTTTCATTTATTTATTTACAGGTACTACTGCTGTAACACCACTCCCTCTCTTCTCTGCCCCTTTATCGTTCTCCTCCATTCCCCCTTCATGTTAGATCATGTTATACTAGGGAGGAGGGAGGTGAATTCAAACTCTTTTTTGTAGGAATAATTACTGCAGGAGACATTCTGCCTCTTCCTAGCTATACATGATTTCTTTACTCCCTCCTGCAGCGTTCTCTGCAGACAGCTTTACAGCACTTTAGAGCTGGTATTTTTTTCCCTTCTTCTCTTTTTCGCATGTTCCAGGTGAGACCACAGAAGTCACAGGATAACACACTGTACAAAACAGCACTAAGTAATAGTTCATCTTATGACCCAAAAATCTCTCAAGTCTTTGAATCCATAGGATCATCACTTATTTAACAATCCTGGTATGAAGAATCTGTTCCAACCTTTCTTACCCCACCTGATATCTTTTTCCTACTTATACATCAGAGAAACATGTATACATACCCTGTACACAAACACACACCTTTCAAGGCCCCCTCCCAAAGATGCAGCTTTTAACCACATTGCATTATCACCAAGATGTCACACACCTTTCAAGGACTCACTGCACATCACTTGTAGGAACTGCTATCTTTAACACCTCTTACCTGACAGCATGTCATGAGAACAACTGATAATGGTGGTTCCAGGCTTTATCCCGCTCACAGGAACATCATCGGGTTTCATACTGCCAAATACCACCACATCCACGTGACGAAGCTAGGGACACCCCAAAACATCCCCCAAGGACAAAACAAGCATTTAATGTTAGAAATACATACTTTAATATGCATCTTAAAGATATTCAGACTTATACAGCAATAGCCTTTTGAGCAAAGCATTTACAGACAACAAGAACATAAAAAAAAAAAATGCAAACTGATGGCTTGATTCTTACCCTCCATGAAATTTAAGAACAATAGCATCTAAAATGAAGTTAGGTAAACAAACTGTGAGATCAGGCGAGTGAGGTCAGAGTCAGCATCAATAATACTTAAAAGGGGATTACATCCTTCCAAATAAAAAGTTCTATCATTGTCCTAAAGGCCAAGGTAACTTGGAGCAACTTAAGAAAAAGAAGGGTTGAATGACAGTAAATAGGCAATTATAAAGCGCATAGTCAGATTATCACAGTAGAAAACCAGGCCAGCTGATGGGAATGCAAGATGACCTGATCTGCAAACATCAATGTTTTTAAAGAATACCAATTAAAGCATCTTTTTTCCTTCTCAGTTCACGTTTGCTAATCAGTGTCTGTGATTTACTTCAACCTGGCAGATGCTGGAGCAAAAATGGTTATGACAAAAATTCTTATAACCAAAGTTATAACATAAAGTGCCTTTCTTTCCCCACCTTCTCTGAAGCAGGGTCCTGTACCAATTATAAGAATCACCATGAGGTAAGGGACAGCACCACAGGCAGATGTATAAAGATCCACTAAAAAAGCCACAGCATTGTGCTTGAATGTAAAAATTAGTTCAGAGATACAGTGATTTTGGTAATATTTTGAACAAATGTAAATTAATTCCAAGTGTAACAAACTCAGTGAGCCTCACAAATTGCTTTCTGACTGACAAGCGTTCCAGCTTCTTTTTTGGCCAAAAGCGCTCTGACGTAACCCTGCCCAACACTCCTGCCAAGAAAGAACAGCTACAAATCCTGTCAGGATAGCAGGTTTTTGGCAAAGCTGAGCATCCAGGAGGGAAGAAGAGCATAACTGCTGCAGAAAAGGCAGAAAACAAAAAAAGCTCCATCTTCCCCTCAGAGGATGCAAGGATGGCCTAACCCTCCTTAGAGATCCACATGTGGAAACAAAGCCAAAAGTGTGGGAGAAGATTTACTGGTTTGACAAATGACTAATGCAATGAGCTGACTGAGACTTCAGTCACAAGTTTCACAACACTCCTGTGATTGCCTGCAAACAGTCATTCAGCCTTATCCAAATTGCTCTCACTCCTGAGCGTGGTGAGAATATCAGCTTACATGCCACTCCTAGAAGGCCACATAAGTCATAATGCTTGACCAGCAACAGGTCAAATGATACTGAGAAATCTGCAAGCAAATCTGGATAAAAAGATGCTGTGATGACTTGTGAACCAAGAATACTATGCTGTAGGCACACTTCTGCTCTGCAAAAGGAGGCAACCTCTGCTGCAACAGTCAACATCAACACAGAGAAAAACAGTGATTTTTCTCAGTTACATGACCACAGCATTTTTTTGGTAAGAAATCACATACTGAAAGTCAGGATGCCTTCCCATGCAAAGCCTCTGGGACAAGGACTAAGCTTTGCACACCACTTAGCATTGTGAATTGATGAACCAGTTGAGAGCTGTATGCAACAAGTAATAATTTTGATGAATGTTCAGCCAACATACTTTTGACAGAATTGATTCAATGTAACTATAATGCCAGAAAACAAGTGATGGGGCCAAATACTCATCTCTATGACTACCAACCCTAATGTTGAAAAATGTTCTTAACAGCTGAACACAATTATTTTTCTAGCCAATGTTAAAACTAGTTTGGATAGCTAACATCACACATATCCATAAATTTACCAGAAAACCAGCTGAACCTTTTATCTCATTGCCCTGCCCCATCTCCTCCATGAAAAAGGTTGTACCATATGGCAGCAAAACAGTTGTCACATGGGTTGAAAACACACTGATCTCTCAGAGTCTTCCCCAATGTGATTTCCTTTTCCTTATTTCACAAAGAAAATAATATTTTATGTGCAACTATTGAACAAGTTCCTGCAGAGTCGATAAAAGATATATCACAAACGCTTTACAGAAATTTTTTTCCCCTGTGAAAAGCATTTTTAAAAAGTATATCCAGAAACTGGGAGAGTAAGTCCACTGAAAGCAAAATAGTTGTTTACAGACTTCTGGGTGTCTTGGAAGAGCTTTGTGTGATCTCCATCAAACTTTGGTTTCACTTGCAAGAAGTTGTGTCCATACCTCCTCTGCTGTTTTTTTTCTTCCTTGCCCTTCTCTTTTGACAGCTGTTTAGTCACTGAAGCAAGAAGCAAGCCTTGGGATGCATGTGCAGAGTTATTTCCAACCAATCCCAGACGTTAGAGATGGAAAAGTCCTATGAAATCATCACATTCAACCTCCCTAGCAAATGCACCACACAATCTCTGGACAGAGGACACATCTGACAGGAACCAGATGCTACAGGCAGCCATAGCCAGAAGGTCAAGGAGATACCCACGAGGGAGAACACATGGCTGACTGCCCCATGCTCCCTGGACAGCAAGGCTGTGTCCCATCAGGCTGGCTAGAGGAAGGAATGACAAGCATCATGCCAAACCCTCCTTAATGTGCTAGGCTGAAGACAAAGTAAGCCAACAGTCCTGTAGTATCTTGCCTTCTCACCGGTAAATATTTTTTCAGTTAGGAAGAGTTGTGCCAACAAAAAATCTGAAACCTTACCTCATAACAAAATATGATTCTCTCCACTAAGATTTAAGTAGAAGCAGATTAGGAAGCCCCACCCATTCACAAGACAGAACACCAAATGTTAAAACAATACAGACTTTCCAGCCAAGTATTTAATGATAATGGCACAAAGTAGTTGTCTATTACAGATAACTGAAACTCCATTTTGCTGTGAAATCTGCATAAAAATTTCATTTTCCCATAGTTTAAAAAAGCCATTTTTAAATACATGATCAAACAAAATAAAAATTAAAATTAATATTTGAAATGTAAAAGTCCTTGTTTCCTGGGTATGAAGCTAGGCCATATAAACTTTAAGAGATGGGATGAGGAATAGGAACCTGATTAAAAGTCTTTTCACAACTCTCTTTAGCAAAAAAATCTTTATTCACATCAGGTTACATATCAGGTTCCACTTCAATCACAGCAGTTCTAATTACTTCCTGAAATCTTGAAAATTTTAGAAGTCAGTGACTAGTTTCGGGTACTTTTTTCACTAAGGTATGTTCTCCTTATGTGGTTTCTTCCAGCTCTATCTCTATCTCAGGAAGGTCAGGGTTTGCAAATCATTAGCAACCCAGCAGAACAACTATGCATGATCCCTTCCCACCCAGCCAGACTCCTCAGGGATGAACCAGAGCAAGTGGCCAATAGCTCCCTGCTACCATCTTCTTGCCCAGACACTGACCACCCCTTCCCTACCACATCGGCCTGAATGCACTTGCTCTATATAGTGCACATGAAAATCAAGTCCACATCTCTACTGTGGGCTCAAGCCTACTGCTTTAGCAACTGTTCCTCTAGCTTACAGACAGGTGATAAATTTCAAAATTACAAGGAACAGAGGTGATGCGCATAAAATGTTGAAGTAGAAATACTTTGTCTACATCATCATCACTAGAAACTCTCATGCAGCTTCCCTCTCCTCTTATGGGATCCATATACCTCATCTCATGTTCTTTCATGCTTACAATATGAAGTGCATTTTTCTGCTCGTACCAAGACTCTTGCTCTTATGAAGACAGTAAAAGCAGGATAGTAAATGGCTAAGAGATGTCTAAAAGTCTGAAGCTTAAGCATTGGCTCTAAGGAAAAGCAGACTGTGGCCAAAAGAAGTTCTTTTTCAAGTTGGAAAGGAACTTTCCATTCAGCACTCCAGCTGAACCACTCTTATAGTCCTCAACCAGGCTTTTGCAAACAACTTTTCTATTCCTAATTATACCTAGATAGACCAATTTTCAGTTCTTTTACAATAAAATGTAGGATAGCAACTCTCTCAAAACAGGCACGATGTGCTTCACACACGGGCTATGTTAAAGATGACATGCTGAAATGATGACTGACTGAATTTAGATGACTGAAACAAAATTCTGTTTTCTTACAAGTACTAAGTATTACCCATGTTTTGGTAAGGAAATAATCTGTATTTTTCAATATGAATCTACTTGATAACCTCCTTTTAAACTAGAAAACATAATTCTACCATGATAAAGGATTAAGCACATCTGTTCCCATTCTTCATCTAATACTGAATCAACTTTTAGGTACTCCCATTTTAACATTACAAGGGAGACGTTCCTGAAAGTATGTCACTAGGTCATTCTTCAGGCACAATGCAGTGAATGTGCTTTCAAGAGTTATCTACACAAAGCTTACCAGAGCGACAACATCTTAACAATTTCCACCAAAATGCTTATGTCTATCTCTTACTTCATAATTTCTTTTACACTGAACATATCAATGGCAAAAGAACAACGTTTCCTCATGGCAACTAATGCACAGATGTGCCAGAATCTTCTGAAATGTTTTCTTTCCTTTGTAATTTTATTTGAAAACTCAGGAAGCTCAAGAGCGCTGAAAGACATGGCTCAGCTGTGCCGTGATGATTATTTTTAAGAAATGAAGTAAAGCAAACCTGAAATGGAACAAAAAGAGATATTAATCTGTCCACCTAAAAAAATGTGAAGTGAAGAGGGAAAAGAACATTGAAAGTGGGTCCACTATTCATTCATCTCAAAGCAAGGAAATGAAAAGTACTGTTATTTATTTCATTCCCTTTTCCTGCCATAGGACAGAAAAGACTTGCCTTAAAGGAGCACACTAAGTCAGATGGTAGATGGCACTATGCTGTTTGCCAGGAGAGCTATCCCTACATTGTTAGACTTTTCCTAAGGTAGACTAAAACATACCTTCCTCTTGACAATTGTCAAAATATTTTTCCAAAAGTGCATGAGTAACAGAAGTAATTACAAGTCCATAGCAATACAAAACCTTACCCAAAAAACCCAACAATCTTAGTGTTGTGTGACTCATTTAAATTGAAAGAATTTCTAAAGAAAACACTTGTTGTTATGCTCTCCTTTTTAAAAAGAAGAACAAATCAACAGAACTAGTCCAAGGTAATTTAGTACCCACTTAAGAAAGGCATTACATCATTAAGGTCAGAGTTACTGCTTCAGTGCAAACTGGCCTGGCCAATGGATTAATACAAATAATATACATCTACCTTTAAGATAAAATTTTCCTTTCCTATTATACATTGTGAAACAAATGCATACCAGCGAAAAGTTTATACTCTTTGTATGTTCATCTCTCACTTCATAAGTGAAGTTATTATGCTACAACAGGTAATACTTCCGAACAACAGTACACAGACTGCTACTGTAGAGGCATTGTATTCAGAGAAAGGAGAAGTTAGTGTATTTTACAGGAAAAACAAAACATGAATTAATTTTTCCAAATCTTGGAAAAGCCTCAACATTGACTAACGTATTTTCTTATTTGAAATTCAAATGAAAAAAAACCTCATGAGAAGAAACCTTGTGAACCTTTTAAACTGTTTTTACTTAACTGGCATTTTAAACAAGCAGAAGAATATCATATCATATATTAATATCACCAGCTATAATCATGTTATCTAAAAACATTGTACTTCAAATACAGGTTGCCACGAGACAGCAGTACCTTGTTGTTGAGTAGGAAACTGTGCTCAGTTTCTGACTCTGCAGCTTCTGGGAATATGAAACAGTTTTCCCTGAACGCACTAGATTTTATCAAGGAGCTAGAGTTAACTATCAGAGTATATCCAGACAGTTCAGCAGTGCTCTGGGGATTACTGGTGACATGTTGCTCCAGGCTTACAGGCAAGGAAGAGGAAGGTAGGTTTCCCCTGACCTCTGCTGATTAGTCCCGCAGGTAAAGCACAAACTCCTTTACTGCCAGCAGTTAAAATGAACCTGGGAAGACTGATGTGCAAAGCCTCAAACTTAGGCCTCTCGTTCTGTTTTCCATCAGTGACCTGCTGCAAAAGGTAAGCTATGGGGAATGCCAAAAAGCAAAGCATGATTATGGGAAAGCATGTGGATGGAAGGAAACAGATTTCTCACCAGCTATAGACAGCACTGCACAAGCAGCTATGGGCTCAATCCAGATTTTTTGCTGTGAACCAGTGGAAACACCTCTGGCCACCCTGTCACCCACACCATCCAGCCCAAAGCAGTCCTCTAGCACAACCCTAAGCAACAAGAAATAACTGAAGAATGAGACATGGCAACGATCAAGTTCACAGTGCTCTGTCTCCAACAGAGGCATATGTTTCCTAAGTGCTGTCAGTCACTTAAAGCCCAGAGCTGAGACAAGCCTGACAAAAACATCTGCAGCTGTGAAAACATGAGTTTGCCAGAGAACTTTCTATCACAGCTGCTCAGATTTATTTCCTCCTCCTGTCCTTGCCTCCAAAGCCCGGAGGTGTGACACAATCATTTTGCCTTGGCTGCCACCCTGTGGTACAAGCTGTCAAATACTAGAGCTGTCCCGGGCACCTCACCCCTACAGCCACTGGCAAAACGGGCCCCGGACTAATGTGCACTCCCACAGCCAATATCTGAACCCCGCTGCACATGCCCCAGGGACAACGCATTTGGGACTAAGGAACAAACTGAGAAGCTTGACAGGAAGTCATACCAACTTCTAAGTTGCAGCTAAAAGCTCTGCAAAAAGCAACTAGGGAGACCATGTAAATTAAACCCTTCGGGTTAAGGCTCCTGAATTTCTTTGAATCCTTTTACAGTTCTCTTCAAAGCTAAAGACTGGGATCTTCCTTGTCCCAAAAGATGCGGTATTTGCAAACCTTTAAGACACAAATTCAATGACAATAATTTCACACAGATGACAATATCACAGGACAAGAAGAAAGAGGGTATTTCTCTTGGAGAAAGTAAAAGGGAGAGCTAACACATTTGTTTTTAAATTCATTCTCTAACAGCTCCTTGTGTAAAATAATGAAATTACAGCAGCGGCTATTACACGTAATATTCACAGAATCAAAGAATCAATTAGGTTGGAAAACATCTGAGATGATTGAGCCCAAGCTGCGACTGAACACCACCATTTCAACTAGACCATGGCACTAAGTACCACACCCAGTCTTTCTTTAAACACCTCCCTGGACAGTCCATTCCAATGTCTAATGATCCTTTCTGTGAAGAACTTCTTTCTAATGTCCAACCCCAGTGCAGCTTAAGAGTGCATCCTCTTGTCCTCTCACTAGTTGCCTGGGAGAAGAGGATGATTCCCCACCTGGCCACAACCTCCTTTCAGGTAGTTTTAGAGAGTGTTAAGGTCACGTCTGAGCCCTCTCTTCTCCAGACTAAACACTCCCAGCTACCTCAGCCATTCCTCATAAGACTTGTGCTCCAGATCCTTCACCAGCTTCATTGCCCTTCTCTGAACTCTGGTAGAGGGTAGAGGCCAGTATTTGCACCATTTCTGAGCAAGCAGGAAGGAGAAAAGATCCTAACTCACACTGGCTACCAGCAAGACCCAGTGCCACCTGTGACTGCAACAACGAGTCTCCCTCTTGGCAACAGCAGCGAAGGGGAGCAGTGCCAGGGGAGCAGCTGATAGGGATGCCCAGATAGTGGGGATGCAGGATGACCCTCATCATCATGATGAAGCACTCACCTCACTCTGCAGCTGTGGGGCTTTCCACGGGCAGCTGACGATCACTGCTCCCTCCCTCTGCAGCATGCTCTGCAGGGCAGCACCCACTGCCCCACCAGCTCCCACCAGCAGCACCGTCTTTCCACCTGCACAACACAAGGCAAGTTGTTCAGCCACCCTCAACTGCAAAGGCACAAGCACCAGGCTCCACCGGGCACAGAGCTGGAGCAGCTACATGGACCTCTGCTCTGCCCAGGCCACTTGCTGCCGAAGGCCTCCAGAAGTGCCAGCAAAGCGGCTCACGACAGGACAGAGCTGTGTGCCTGCACAACCACAGCAGCTGTGGCAAGTCTTTCGGAGCCCATGCAGTGACACAAACCACAGGTTTTAAGTTGTTTCCTGGTAACTTCCCAAATTCTAGCAAGCAAATACTACTCTTCTGGATTTCTGGTACTACTCTTCTGGTATTTTGCACAAATTCTTTCATTCCCAGTTGTTACTAAGTACATTTGACCTAGCATTTACAGTTCTGTTACTGAAATCCTCATTTCAACACTTACGAATTTTTGAGAGAGAGATAACTTCTGACACGGTGCCTTAAACTAACAGTATCTTCATACATTGTAAACCCGCTTGTTTAAATCTGCCATTTCAGTGTCAGCATTTACGCAACAAAACCCAAACCAAAATATTTGCTCAGCAGCAATTTACAGGTAGACCTGAGTTTCCCCAACTGTTCACACTAATCAAAACTGTCAAGTGAAATACCCAAGTAAGGTTTATATTTTTCATTTGGAAGACTCATATGTCTTGTGCAGCTTTAGTGAGATTAAATCTGCTGATGGCAGCTAATCCCTACCTAATATCTAAAATCTGTAGGACTGAGACCCATTTCTGCAAATGCTACTTTCAGATCTCACTGAGGCTCCTCACTAGCAGGAGACAAATATATGTCGGATGGGAATTCAACACAAACTAGAAAACACAATTTGACTCCCAGTAAGGATTAAAACTGAGAAAAATAATTATGCTAAAATTAATTCATCTTTATGATAGAAGTACTCACCTAGATTTTCAAGAAGCTCCATCACTGCACACACTGTAGGAGGAACTAGACAATCATAGACATCACCACATACTAAGTGTCCTAGGTTTACACTGGATAATCTGCAGAGGAAAAACACGGCAATTTAACAAAAAAGAAGTTTGTGTAAAATAAATCCTCAGTAATGTTTGTAACATGGCTAGCAGCTAATCCCATGAGCAAACACATCTCATAAAAGCAAATCCTTTGATAGTCATGTACTGCAGCTAATTTGTATCATCCCAAATCCCAGTTAGACAAACACTGAGCCTCAAGAGAGGCCAGGAAAGGGATCTCTGAGTTTGAATAAGTAACACGATCCCACGATACACAGGCAGTTCTTTACTTGTCATGATGGGCTACCCATGGCACATTGGGCCAAAACACCTCAGTGGTTGCAGTGAGACCAGACCAGTGCTGCCAAAGCCAAGCCAAGCCAGAGGCAGCACATCCTTCTGGGCTCAGGCTGGCTCAATGGGGGCAACTCAAGTGTTTCCACACAGCACTGCATTCTCCCTCACACACAAGGATGCTCCAAATTTTCCATTTTCTGCATCTCCAGTACTCCAGACGATGGAAAGCTAACTACTTTGAAAGATTTTCGGATTTTTTTCGTGACATTAAAAAAAAAGTGAAAGGGATAAAAAATCCGGCAATAGTCTGCAATTGAGAGCAGGAAGGCTGCAAGAGCAGCAAGATGGCAACTCAAGACACCTAAATTAGACCAGTGATCTCTTCAGAGAGAGACACTTATTAGAAAGTTGTGTTAATGGGTCCAAACTATAGCCTACTCTCTCACCATAGGAGAGTGCTGTAAGGAAGTAAAAACCTTCTCTGCAATTTTTCCATCAATCCTTCTTGTGAAAATTCAGCACTTTGTGACTACCATTTTCATGACTGAAGTACTGAAATACCTTAAGTATCATCAGTAAATCGCAACCTCAGTTTTTATTTTTTGAAAAGACCATGTCCTGAATATACATTATGTAAAGATTAAAAAGATAATGATCAAAATTACTTCAGCAGAAGACTTCTCATTGATTCAGAGGCATCTTTTATCACTGCTCAATAGCACAGCTAGACACATTAACTGAAGAATCCATTAACGATAAGCACAGGGGAAAATTGATTTTACAGAGCCATCAGCCTCATGTCTGCTAATATTATTTCTCTGTGCTTCACTTACCCATCCACATCCTTCTCTGGTTTCACAGCATTTAATACCTTACTGCTACATAAGCTTTCTGGGAGGTCAAGGGCAAGGCCCTGCACGTTAGGATCCTCATTAAGTCTCAAGATTTCACTGACAATCTAGGAAGTTAATAAAAAGCATTAAAAATCAGAACAACAGTTAAAAGGAGAATTTAGTTAGAAGGGGGTAAAATCTGTATATTTTTTAAAATTACTTCAGGGCCACCTTTGCTTCCCTTGCATATTACTACAACTTCTAAATGAAAAAGGCAAAAACCTGCTTTCCTCGGTTTATATTTCCATGGCTTACCAAATTACTCTATTCTAAACATCTTGCAAAATAAACACAAATTATGTGACATTATGCTGCCAAAAGCATTTGCTCTTTCATCATTCCAAATCTCAGCAAAAGCTCATCACTGTAATGGCTTCAGCAGATGTTTTAGAAACAAGACACCTTCGCTAAAATGTAATTCGAAATTGGACCAGATCACGTCCCAGCACAGAACATGGATAAAAAATTGTAACACTAAAAAAAACAGTTCTACAAGAGAAAATTAATTTTATTAAACCAGCACATATCATTACCAATTTTCCTTCTCAAAACACCCTTATCCTAAGAGCTGACAATTGTCTGGTGAAGTATTGTTATGTTGAAAAGGTACTGCACAAAAGTTTAAGAATTTCAAATACTGAACCAGATGCAAGTTCAAGTGGTTTATAATTGGTCACATTTGACATCTGAGACTGTACTAGTTTTTCTTGATTACTTACTCTCTAAACTGCGTTATTCAGCAGATAAAACATATTTATCAACAACAAAGTGTATGTTATCCATTTTAGAAGAATGGGCTTTTGAAATGAAGATCTCACTATCCATAATCTACAAAACTTCACAGTAAATTACTCACAATGTACCTGGAAGCAGTTCTTGAGCTTACACTGCAAGCCAGTAACATTTTAAAAACAATACACAAAACTCCCAAGCTGCAGGATTCTCAAACTCGCGAAGTACAAGGAATCCAGGTGGAAACAGTGGCATCTTTTACTATACATTCCTTCACTGTTTTTACTTTCAGATGGTTTGCTATATTTAAAACATACTTGATATTAAGTGCTGTGCCTTCAACAAGGTAAAGAATTCAAGCCCTCTAGTGATTTGGGGTGGATGTTTGTTTTTTAACACATACTTTAAATATTAAAAGACCAATAAACAGACAAATTCAGCTCCTTTCCCTCCCTGCCCCCCTCCAAAATAGTAAAAAAGTCCATTAATCTTTAATTTCTCTGAATAACTTGGGCAAGAACTAGGTAAAGTCGCAAAAGCAACTGCAGGAGACAGGATACGTGTGCTGGTATGAGGGGATGCTGCAGTTAAACACCAGACACAAAACCAAAATGTTACTCTACTGATTCTGCCCCAGCTTGCCAGGGGACAGCAGACAAACCCATTAATTTTTTCCCCATTCTTGCCAGTAAGGGAGATAATACTTGTTATTTGAACTAAGGCAATCCCAAACTTAATTTGAGTTAACAGAGGTCAGTCAAAGTAATAATTAGTGTCAGCAATAAATAGAAGTTTATGACAAAAGCAAAAAAGGAGGAGTCCTTCAGGTATTTCAATTACCTCATCCTTGCTGCTGCCTTCAGGGAGACAGATGTGAATAATGCGTAGACCAACCTGTAGAAAGAAAATACTTAAAATTACCAAAGGCAAGTAGCTCATGATTAATAACAGATGTATCAGCTAAAGCTTACCTCTTTGGCAAAGTTCTTGTTTGCTTCTTGAATCAAATGATCATTATGTGCCTTCGGGAACAAAACAGAAACCAAGTTTTAAAATAATACATTTAAAAATGTGAGTACACTAATGCTCATAGGTCATCTACCGCCACCACCTACGACTTTTAGAACGCTTCCATCAACGCTGTCTCTGTACAATCCTAAACATCCACTGGTCAGATTATGAGACTAATACGTCTGTTCTAAAAAGGCAGCAGTTAAGAGTATTGAGGTCATGTTGCTGAGAACACAGCTGCATTGGGCAGGACACATCTCAAGGATGAAGGACCACCGCCTCCCTAAGATCCTGCTGTATGGTGAACTTGCCACCGGCTGCTGCAAGAGAGGAGCCCCGAAGAGAAGATACAAGGACTCCCTGAAACAAGATCTCAGCCTTGGCCATATTGATCACCATAACTGGTCTACTCTGGCCTCCAATCGGGAGGTCTGGAGACACACCATCTATAACGCTGCTGCTTCCTTTGAGAACGCACACAGGATCACTCTTGAGGAGAAAAGACAATGCAGAAAGAATTGTGTCTTGCTGATATCACCTAAGGAGTCCTTCTGCCGTGCCTTTTGCAACCAGACTTGTCTATCTCATATTGACCTTTTTAGCCACCAGCGTGCTTGTAGCAAATGTGGGTAGAGACCTTCCCAAATCTTCGTTCGCGAAGCCTGGCCATGAATGAATGAAAAACACTAGTGCACGTCTATGCAAAAAACATAGTGATGATGTTTGTGTCTACTGGTATTGGAACAAATAAAAAGCAGAAGAAAGAAGCAGAAGGCCATCCCTATTACTCCCAAATAGTTCAAGACTGATGACAGTGAACAAAAGAGCATTTAAAAGGACAGGCTTCACAGTAAAGGGCAGCTCCTGTGTGGGAAGGAGGGTTTGCCCTCCATCCCCTTGCTCCCTCCCTGAACCACCAGCATTCCTGGTACCGCACTACCAGCATCCCACTCCCCAAATCTGGCAGCTGGAGGTGAGTGGCAGCACAGAGGCTGCTGCAGTGGGAACACTGTGCAGAGCTCACACCGGGAAAAAGAGTCAGGTCAAAGGACAGCTCAGCAGCTGCTCCCCTATGCCAGAAAATGTGGAACTGTACCCCCATACTGACTGCTCAAGAGTTTAACTGGGATGGAGCAACTGGTGATACCACACTGTCGCCTGTAATGTCCCTAATGCTGCAGTACTGGCAGGTGAACAGTTATCTTGTGTGTGTGCAGAAACCTGCCCTGAACCAGCTCCTATCAAACCCATGGAACAGCACAGGTGAGGCCAGAGCTCAGGACATGGGCTGGCATAGCATAAGAGCAGGACAGGGGAATGCAGGGGATCACTGAGCTTTGCAGGGCAACAGCTCCACTGCTACATTTTAGTTTTCAGCTAAACTAAGCAGCACCCAACAATCTGTTGCAAAGATCCAACACAGGCTCAACATGAATAATAAGCAATGCAGGTATCAATCTCAGTATCAATTCAGGTTCATTTGACTCAAGAGGAAAAGAATAGTCCTAAAAGCATTCCACAGCAGGCTCAGTCTACAAATCCTCATTCTCAGTACTTCTGAAGAGGTGGTGCCATGTGATGCCAATTGCTGTTACCCAGGAGTGATTGGCAAAGGAGATAATTTCACTGCCCTCCCTCTGCTCCTCTAGGTGCAATGAGGCATATGGGGAGCAGCATGAATCCTAAGGCTTTGCCCACATTACTTGGTAGAGCGGTGCACACAAGAGCATTTGTAGACTAAAGCAAGTCTTCTTTGTACCACCAAATACACATTTAGAATGAGCTCTGCTTCAGTCCTTACAACCAGACTAGAGCTAGGGTGATTGACAGCTGGAGAACATAGCTTGGTTGAATTTCACCCAGAAGGATCTGGCCACATGTTCCTACAGCCATGTAGGAACATGATCAAAACCATGATCAAAACCAAGTGGGATATGCAGGGACAAGAGGGACATCCCTTTCCTTGTGTCAGCATAAAACACACGTGGCTATGCAGAAAACCAGACTTAGGGGACGAACGTGGTTGAAAGGAAGCCTCTTTAGACTTCTCAGGCTGAGGTCGCAGCTGGATCAGGCTGTGATCTCAGGTTGGATCACAGACCCAGTCCAGCTCCTGGTACAACTGAATGAAGACAAAACAGGAGCGAGAAAAAACAGGTCACTGAAAAGATGAGTCACCACTTTTCTAGAAGTCCTTAAGCTTATAGCCTTGGAAGGCTTTGCAAAAACATTAAATGCAATTACCAGGGAGGGTAAGAGAAGGGAGAGCCTGTTCAGCCAGCCTCACTAGAAGATCTACTGAAATAAAGCTGTTGTTGTATTACTTAGATTCACTATGAGTACTTAGAAAACACAGTTGGGTTTTAAAATTAAAACCTACTGGATCAGAGTTTCAGTGTGTGCCCACTCAAAACCAATGCCACTATGCTAGGAAACAGTACAAAGACATTTTGCCTGCATGGTTCGGGGTCCCACTCCGAATGACAAGCATCCCTAGTTTCTTGGCTTTGAAACCTTAAGAAATCTAAAGAGCAACATCTTTCAGCTTTGCAGGCATAGCAATCCTCATCTCTGATTTTGATTGCCTGTCTGAAAGATGGTGGCCTGAGTGAGATGGAAAGGAAAGCTCTTCACAGCATTAATAAAACAACAACTTTCAACTTTCAATTACTGCAAAATTCCTTCACAAAGTGCTGCTGCTTCTACAGGATGTTGACACTTCACACAAGACACTTACTTCACTCGACCGGGACTTTTCAGTATGGTTTTCCTCTCCTTAGAACAGCAGTAACACAGTGATAAGCTGCAGCTGCCCAAAGGTAACAAGGCTGACAGGAAGCAATAGGGTCTTTCATTAACCCTGGCAATATTATTTCAGGGGTGGGAGGTGAAGGGACACCCACTGTTTTCAGGCACATATACGCTTTGTTCAGGATTGCAAAAAAAGCTTCCAGCTAAATAAAGGTTGAGGACAACCGCTTTAACACAACTGTGCCAATCAACTTAGACGAGCTGTGAGAAAAAATTATCCATACTCACAGTGGGGAAGACTACATTAGCAAAAGGAGGAAGGGATAAAATCATCCCTTTCTTTTGCAAAGCTTTCCCACAGTCTGAAGTTTGCTGTGGCTGTTTCAGAACTGAAGAAAAGGGCAACCTACAGTCTAGTGGAATTACCTCCTCCTATTGCTTGGCTTTATAATAAAGCAGATAATATTTTTTATAGAAAAAGAATAAAAGTTACTTTCTGCATCTTGTGTTTCTGAAGTCTCATACAATGAGTGGTAGCAAAGGAGATTCAGTGAGCTCATGGAGGTACTTTACCTGAACAATGGCAAGTGTTGGCTCAAGCTGAGGGTTTTGTCTCTTAAGAGAGGCCAAGGATTTCTTTGCATTCTCGGTGATTTTGCTGCAACACAATAACAAGCAAATCTTTAACAAAATAAACCTTCCTAACATTAGTCAGCAGAAACCTATGTTAGTCAGCAACATAACATAAATGCTTAGGCACATATGCTTTCAATCACCAAAATTATGGTTGGATGTAAACTCTGAGGGCTAGTGTTCAGCACATAGGTACCGAGAATTTTTTTTTTTTTACAGCTATTTGCATCATTGCTCCGACATGCCCAAAACATTATAGCTAGACTGATAATTCATGAGAAGGCTTGTCCAGCCCCACCACAGGAAGTGCACCAGGGAACCACCATCCTGCGCTTTCCGTTCAGGTGGGTCCTTTGTTTCCAAATCCTCGGCCAGATGCAGAAGCCTTTACACCTGGGGCTGGCACAGCTTAACACCAGCCCCAAGAGCAGCAGACCATCCACTTTCATGGATGACATTCAAAACCACTGGTAGAAGGGAGACAGAGGAGCTCTGTTTGCCACAGTGCTTCTTGGAAAAACTGGTGACAGCCAGGCACTGTGAATGCTTTCTGGAAAAAATTTCTGGGTAAGTGTCTGTCGGCTCTCCTGTTACCTTTCGCACCTACAGATGACACTTAAACCAGCAGAGGAAGGAGGAGACCTCCAGAAACACGTCTGTGTGTTTGTTCCCCACAGCAAAGCAAGACAAACGGAGGAAAACACAGCCTAAAGTGGATTTTTGATACCTCGCACCGTGCCCCTTGCAAAAGCCAACGATAAATTCATGCCGTGGCAAACTATCCCAGCCAAGGTTGAATCGGTGAGGTGGGGGCGACGTGGGACACGTTTTTCCAAGAACTCATCTGCGCACAGCCTCACTGAACCACCACTTCATAACGGCTGCTGTGCGCGCTCTCAAAATGCCACAAAACCAAAAGCCATGGCAAAAAACAGCCCAACCGAGTGGTTCTGGGGGAAGGGGGGCATTTCACTACGACGGCCCCCAAAACCCACCTCAAAACCCAACCCGACGCACCCGGTCAGGAAGCATCCCCAAAATCCCCTTTACCACTCCTCCCTCCATGCTCACACCATCATACCCCCCCCTCCCCCGGTTGCATCAGCCGGCGCTGCCTCCCCACGTGCGCCTCTTACCGGGCCGCCGCCGCGCCGCCACCCCGGGGGTGCCGCCCGCACAGCCCGCGGCTCGGGCGGGCAGGCGCGGGAGCGCCGAGGCCAGGCAGCGCCGCAGCGCCGCGCTCCCTCATCCCTCCGGAGCGGCTCGGCAGCGGCGGTGCAGCAGCGGCGCGGACGGAGCGGAGGCGAGGGGCGGGCGGAGCTGGAGCACCGCCTGCCCTCTCGCCCCGCTCCCCGCCCCGGCGCTCGGCCGCTTTCGCTTCCGCTTTTTTGCAACAAAAAATCACCATCCAAGTCACCTCCAAATATCAGCTCCGACAGCGAGAACCCATCACCTCCCTCCCCGCCCTCCCCAAGGAACAGCACCCAAAGCTTTTGCATACTCAACGTTTATTAAAAATAGTATGAAATGGCCCCTGGGAGAAGTTACAATGCTAGTAGAAGTCCCTTTTTCTGTTTGTTTGTTGTTTTTTTTTTATCCCTCCCTCCCAACTCCACTGATTGCATGAGATGCGAGTTAAACATTCCCCTAAGCCGTTTAAACAAATCGACACGTGCGCGCGCATATTTACCTTCTATCCATATTTACAGTACTTTACAAGCTATATTAAATAAATACGGGCTCTGCTACACCTCAGCGTCTTAAATATGTACAACATTATTTCTCAGTCAGATTTTACTAGATACGGGTCCTATCACAGTGGATGTGCTGACTGTAACAAGTATCCCTGTGGTATGAGCTAGCAAGTACCATGACCAACCAGCCCTCAAAATAACAATTTCTAGCCAATGCAAGATACGTGTGGTAAATAATTTAATCCATTCTAATAAATTCAAGTCCTCAAATCTCAGTCGACAAGTAGTTAGCTGTACACTGATAACTTCAGGTTTTCCTCATGGTAACCAACGTAGTAAACAGTCAGCTGTTCCAGAAGTACAGTGCTCTGTAGCTTAGGGGAGTGATAAGTGGTTAGTAAAAATAACATTTCTATGAAACTCCTTTGTATATTGATATGTTTAACTCGGTACTGGCTTTATCCATGTAATCTGAAGAATTTAAGCACCAAAACAGAACAACAGTCACACAAAATGATCAGTGTAGACGTATTTAGGCTCTCCTTTAAGTACAATGTTTTCAAGTAACAGAATCCAAAGCTGTGCAACAAAGATGACAAAGAGGAGTAAGTACGCATGATATTGGAAAGCCTGTCTTTGCTCTAAATGGCAGCATTTATTCAATACATTATTTGCAAAATAATGGAATGTATTCTCATTTTTTAATCTACTATTATTGTACAGAAATTGGATTAGAGTTAGCCCTGGTTGATTTAGCAAATACATCTTCTACCTCTCTCTGTCAGAAAGGGTTATTTCCCAGTACAGGAGATGCATGCCCTGGGGATGGCTGCTCATCACTCAACCACCAGTGTCACTGAACCACACTATGGGCTAAACATGCCCCATGATCAGTATTTCACCCAAGTACCTGGTCAAGCCTCATTCTCTCACAGGGTTACTGACACTGGGACTCGAACAAAGGTCCAACAGGTCACAGCTACTTTGCAAACTCTCACACAGCAGCTTTCAACTGCTGGGTGCTGAGCTACATGATACTCAAATTTTCCTTGTGTGTCACAAACACCACTATCACTGGAGGTTCCAAAACTGGTCTAGTCCTCTTCACAAGCAGTGGAGCTCCCCTTCTATTGCCAGAACCATTCCCCAGACGAGGACTATGTCACATCCACAGGTTCTCATAAAAAGCCACCACTGCCTGTCTTCTGCTGACTATGCAGTTCCAGAAAGTAGAAGAGGCTATCAAGCACTAGGACTAGATTTTGTTTAAAATATAAGAAGCTTGTTGTAAAGTAATATAGCATATGCATTGGTCCCACACACTTGGAATCTGTCTGATGAAAAGTAACGTGCAAAAAAGTATGTGCAATTATGCACATTATCTGTTGGTGTAATTACCAGAACCCTCCTCAGAAATCTGCCCAGCCACAGGAGCAGCTACTCAGCTAAATGCTCCTGTATTGTAGGCAGAGTACTCACGCAGGTATTCTGGAGGCAGAACATTGGAAACCAACTGGAAAGTCCAAATACTAAGGTTTCCACATGATAAAATGCTTTAAGAATCAAATGGTATCAGACCTGGTTCGATGGTAAGAATGAGGTGGTTATGACACCTAACAAGGGAAGAGATCCAATACGAGATGAGAAGTCCACCTGCGCTCCAGAGAGGGACTCCAGACAGTGCACATATGGCCTTTTTTATGTTCAGTATTCTAAACCACTTTAAAAAAGATACAGTTCACATCTATTTACAATATTATTGTGATACAATGCCTGATTGTGTAATATTGTGGAAATACATGATGCCAGTACTGATTGTCCTAGTATATACTCTGTCATAATAAGGCAGTACAGCTAGAAATTATTGAAAGCATCAAGCAAAGCTACTTGAACTGAGGCACTGAAATTTTTCCCTTAAAGACTGTACAATATTCTGCTGATTAGGAGATGGTACCCTCCACAGGTAGTCATTCAGTTTATCTGAATCACTATATGCAGTCAGATATGGGGTAAGCGCCTGTTTGCTGTTGGCAGACTTTGCGGGAGTACAGGAGACAGTTTTGCCACAGAGCATTTCAGAAGGAACAGCGTCTGCATTACGCAGTTTAGGATCTGATTTCCTTGTTTGGTTCTGAGAAGTCTCCAAGTCAGATCCCTCATCTTCAGACTTTATTTCAACATAGTCATCATCATCATCCCCTTCTCCTTCTTCAGAATCTTTGAAATTCGAAAAATAGTTCTGAGTGGCCATCTGTGCTGTCAGAGGGGAGGCCCTGTTTACTCTCAGGACTTTTTGAGAATCCTGCAGAATTATATCTGAACAGTTTTCAGGGATCTGCTTTCTCATCTCCGGCCCTGTACACGCTGAAGCGATACCAGGACTTTGATGATTGTTGAATCGGAAGTTCCTATTCAAATGGAGCTTTTTCCTGTCAATTTCATTAGTGTATACAATTGATTCTCCAGACCTGTTGACCACAATTGAGGAAGATGACTGCGACCTACTGTATGCCTGTGGTTTTACATTGCTTACTCTCCTCCCAAGTGAATTATAGATGTGATCTTGATGTAAGTTCTCTTTGTTCGGTTGGCTTATAATGGCACTCCACCTCTGCGCTGGGACATGTAAACGGTTAGAAATCTGAAGGGAAGGCACCGATCCAGCTGAAAGCAACTGCTTTGAATTACTTTTTGTACCAGCTTCTGTATATGAGTTCTTAGACTTCAGGTTTTGGGATTCAGACCACGGAGAGAAGTCGGCCAGCTCGCCGTTACTGTATGTAGAATGCAAAAGCCAATCTTCTGCTCTTGGGCATTCACTGGCAGGCTGGGAATGGGGAGGTGATGTGGTCACAGGTGTGGAAAACCTCCCAGCTGATGGCTCCTGAGGAGTGGCCCAGGCTTCCTTTTGGACCTTAGGAGTACTGTCTCTAAAGACAATTTGGTCATAAAGCTGGGAATATTCAGCTATTCTGGCACCTGGAAAGGAGAGAGAATACACTTAGCAGAGACAAGGAATCCATTCCAATTAATTATGTGAAAATTTAAAAATCTCAAAATGCTTAGTATCAGTCAAGAGAAGATCTTTCAAGTTGTGCGAATATATTCGGCCTCAACAAAGTAACATGAAACAATGGAGGCTGAAAGACCCTTTGCATTGCATTTCAGTACACTGTACTGAGAAAAAGAAACATAAAATATCTTGCTACGGTGAGCAGTCACGCAGGACACAATGCAGCCCATAGTTCCAACAATATGCTGCTTGTTTCATATTAAAATGGAAAATAACATTCTAAAAATGGCCTGGTAAATAAGATATTTAGGGACTTTTATAAATATCACAAGAAGGCAAGAATGACACTCTAGTGCATGGAGTCTGCTGGCTCCATGTTCTCAATTTGTTTCAATTGACAATGGACAAAAATAGTTCCAGAACTCTTGCGTATCCATGATTTTGCACATGGACAGAACAAGACCACCACCTCTTTCTTATCTAACCCCATTCCTTGTGCTTATGGGTGTGACTGTGGATGGTATCTGAGCAAATGTACATGACTTGTTAGATGGTGAACCATCTTGAAAATAAACAATTTAGTCAAACTCTGAAGATCACACTATTAAAGAAAATAACTGTTTTTCTGTAAAGAGGCCAATAGTGCTTTGAGCATGATTTCTATTTCCAGTCTCAGTTTAATTGCTCTTTCCTGACACCACCCTGCTACTTCTTCCCACGGTTATCAAGCAATGACAAGAAATGAGATATAAGGGACTATTCATGTTAAAGCAGTCCCAGAAAACTCATCTCAGTGGTAACACAGAAAATATGATACTGATACTCAATGAATAAGGTGGGGAAAATTCATAATCTTCCAGTTCAGAACGCAAAGTTCACTGAAAGTTACTCAAGAAATGTATCCGTGTAGAAACATTTTTAACATACCAATAGCAGGACCCCCTTGTTTCTTCTCCTCCAGAATAGCAGCAAGATCTTTGTGTTTCAGTTTCTGTTGTCTGCTAGCTGGCTGTTCCTGCTCTGGACTTTTAACTTTCAAAAGCTGGTTAGCCTTCTTAATTTTTTGACTGTACTGCCTTGCCATCATAAAAACTCTGTTCTTTGTTTTATCCACAACAGCCAAGTCATTTTCCACACTCTCTGCACGCACATTGGACAGAACGTTGTTGGCAGGTTCATATGGACTATCTACAAGAGGTATCTCACTGGAGTAGGAAGATCTGTTCAGACTCATAAAAGAGTTCTTGCATGGTGTAGTGTCTTCAAGTCTGAGATTCGCCTCACTAATGGTGGCAGCCCTGGGCTTCACAGTTTTAGGGAAAATAGGAGTTTCTGGCAGAGAGAGAGTAGACAGTGAATACTCTACATCTTTACTCAGTTCAGGTGTACTACCAGCATGCAGCCTTTCCTGCATATCATCTTTACAGACAGGAAAGGCTGCAAGGACACGGTCTCTTGTCTTTTCCTCATTTTTCTTGATATAGTTCTCCAGGTCATTCCAAATCTCATCTACTTCCTCTGAGAGTTTATCTGCTGCAGACTTATGGGACAGAGAATCAGAGTTGGAGGAGCTATCTACTAAGCTCAAATAGTCATTGTCAATGGGAACACGATGGTAAGGACTTTCATCTTCACTGAACTGGAGACTCTCTTCAGAAACAAAATGTTGTAGATTGTCACAATATGCAAAGTCCTTTTCCA